TATATATCCGTTATTGTCATTGCATTGTTCTTTCCTTTCATTTCTACTATTTCTTTTTAAATTGAAATTTACTTTTCATCAAAGGAATACGATGACTATAGGACTCGGGAGATGACAACATCTCTAATGTTCTGTATTTTCTTACGTTTTCCAAGTAAATTAAAAATTTGTGTGTGAATCAAGGACGCACCCAGAGGGATGATTAGAGAGATCGATCTTTCTGGAAAGACTTAAATATCTGGACAGTGTATGAATTGACTAGTTTTCACAAGCCCAACATTATCTTTTATCTCATTGTGTATCTCTTTCTTAAAACCATGTTGCTATTAAAATGGTAGATTCAGAATCGACAAAAACACCTCAGTGGAATATGATGACCCTATAATTTCCCAAAGCTTTGATTTTTTTGAAGAATTTTAAGACTAGCAAAAGCAACATATTCATGAAACAGTAAGAATCAAGAAAACAGGTGCAGCAAACTATAAATTACTTAAAAAATTTTATGTTTCAGGCTGTCGAATCAAAGTTGAACGATAGTTTACCTCAACAAAGTAATATTTTAAAAATCTAATACTATGATTTTGAGCCAAAATTTGTAATGGTAAACATTGCATCTAAACGTTAGCTATGTCATAACATTGAAGAAAGCTACATGGCTCTACAAAAACAATGCATAGATGTCTCGAACTTTAATTTTGACTTGTTTTTATGTGCTCCGCATTTTATGCACTTATTATAATTGATTATCACCAGGAATAATTTGCTTAGACTTAATTTTTGACTACGAATTTGAATATGTCACTTTTATTATCCCAATACAATGAAGCATTGATCTTAAATTGATAAAATGTGCCAGCTTTTTAGCATATGAGATGATGTAATCGGAAACTGTCCTTCAAGACTAGCTAAAAAGACGCAAAAACAAATTTTCTTTAACTAGCATTGATCGCATCTTATGCAAATGTAAAATGTGAGAGAACGAATGATGAAGAGAGTAGCACCGTTAACTTAATCAATAAAAAACAGCAAATATAGAAGCATTTAAAATGACTTATTTCTCTTGTAATCAACGGACCAATATAAATTGTATTTCGCGATAAATCTTTCACTTTCTAAATCGAAAAAATGCAATACTGTTGCTTACAAATTAACGTTCATTAATGCTTTCCAGATAGTATAAATTATTTTTGATGAAAATAATATTTGTTTCTTTTTATAATGCACGTACATTTTCACTGTTCGCTGTATTCATAATTAACAAAAATTGTTTAAAAGCGTGTTACCATTCTAACCACTGGATAGTGATAATTTCTTCATTTCATCCTTTCCTTTCGATTTGCGATACATGACGATCAGCTGACTTCTTTTCGTCTTTTTATTTCTATGGGTTTCTACTGTTTTTACTACGTATTTTCGTGATTCAACAATAATTGTACATTAATATTCACATTTACATATGCTTTAAAATACGTTGCGGTAGCGCTATACAAATTGAAGAAACTATTATGATAGAACGTCAACAACACCAATGAGTTCTGTTCCACTTCAATTTCTTTTTTATGGTTATGCTGTACTCAATGGTTGTAGTACTCCACCAAGTATCACAGGTGATCGACCAAATCGAGGTAAGTCAGAATCTTATCGAAAATTTCTTTAAACAGTCATGATTGTTTATTTATTAAGCATGCATTGATACATCAATCGGATCCAATATCACTGAATATGTCATTGCACAAGCTGTCTATTCTGAAGAAACTATTATCGATTTCACTTCTATTTCTCCAATTGATATGACAAAGAGTACATTTGATATGAATTGTTTTAGTTTGCTTAATGTCTTGTGTTATAAGTATCTATCAAATTATCCTTAGCTGGATTTCTACAAGTGATCGATATGGTCCTATACGGGTTCTGTGCCTGAGCTGTTGATATCACGAATGTTCCATCAGATCAATGGTGTATAACATTTTTCGTTGATTTTGACTCATCTGAAGTCATTCGACCAAATGTTGTTCAAGGTTCAGTTTCATCGATTGGCACCATATTTTAGAATCACACCATTCTGTCAATTCAAAGTAATCCTAATGGTATTAAAAACCAAGATAGGATGAAGTTGAAATACTGCATAGATGAAATGAATAATAATCGTATAGGCATAGAAAAGGTTTCTGTAGAGTATTTTTTCGTCTTGATCTTTTCCAAAATCTTCGAAAAAAATAAGAATAAACTAATTGATGTATATAAGATACAGGGTAAGTTTGGCAGTTCTGCCAAAAATAATGATTGATTGATTATTGAATAAGTGAAAGAGATCAAATAGAAATTCAATTAAATCAAATTATGTTTATGTTGTTTTTTAAGCTTCATGTTCAGTCAGTCGACCAACACGTAATGATACTTACATACATTTTAAAGATGCTACTGCAATTTTTTCTTTATGCCATTGTATATGTATCAATTGGTGCTTCTCTGAATAATAATAATACGAAACAAATAGTTTTATATTTAAACTAAGTTTTTTTTCTTTTTACATCTTAGAACATCGCTCTTGCTTAATACACTTTTTTGTAGAATCTATAATATAAAATAACCATTTTATCCTCATATATAACTAAAATTTTGATTTCGATGTGGTTCTTTTCTATTGAAATAAAATTGATCATTACAACTAAAATCTTTCTATTGTTGATAGGATCATGTCTAGTCAGCGACAATGAAACGAACTAATAATATTACTGATCGAACGGTGGAAATCATGGAAATATTAAAAGAATAATGTCGATCATGCTTCAGAGAAAATTTTATTGTGTTATTGAAATTTTTTGCTTTCTCAACAACTGCGTGATAGATCAGATACGGAGGGAAACTATAGCGAAGAACAAATTCTTGATATCTGGAAGATAGTAGTTGTACATGTGATCTCTGGCCTATATAGCAGGCCAAGAAAAAGTTCAAAACAATCTCCTTATTTCCATGTGGCTTGCTGGTTATGTAAAAATGTATTCATGTCTGAATCATTGTGAACATGCTGATCTAATATCGATTTTCAATCGTGAAGCTTGAGTCTGAAGTACAACAAGGTACTTTTGAACATTTTGCTCTGATCTAAAGAGTTTCGTTCGAAATGAAGCTCATTAATGATTTTTCCATTATAAATTTGTATAGAGTTGCTTATCAAGTAAGAGTTATTTTGCCAATGATAACTATTAGTTAAGACATCAAATTCATTTATGTTGAGCTCTTGCAATAGTGACCAAAATTTTCTGCGCTCAATGAACTTTATTACATGAAGTAGTCAGATCGAAAAATTTTTATTAAGTACAAACTCATCGTGCACTCGAACTATTAAAGGATATAGAGTCATTCTAACTTTCGTCAACTGTAGAAACTCGATTATTCATGCCATGTACAAGTTTGATGGCCAACTTTGGTGGTAACGGCTCTTCACTCACGCATTATTGCTATAAAGTCACCGATTGATAAATAATGACTTTTTTTCTTCTTAATTTTATCTTCAGGAGTTACCAAATATTTTCGACATAAACAACATCGGTTAGGTTGTTATGTCTTTGAAGTTTTGAAAACGTAGAATCAAAGTCAAATCGTTTCTGAACCTTTGACGAGAGACTTCACCTGTAAATCCCATACATCGATTTCGTTTTTATATTATGAAATTTCTAGCAAATTATTTGAAACATTCAGAAAAGAATTCTTCTTTGGTATAGAATGTCCTATTCCATTCATTGCTCGTTTTGTAATTTTTTTGATAATAATCGAAAGAAAAAAAAAGAGAAAAAATTATATTAAAAATGAAACTTGCGTATAGAATGCTTATTTTTCTCTCCGTCGAACAAATTTCTTTGAAATTCAACCAAGAATCTTTCTTTTTAAATTTCAGCTACGGAATATTTAAAGATAAATTTATCAAAACGTAAAATTTATAAATATTGAAAAAGAGTCATAAACACTATTTCTTCGCAATTCTTTTAAAACAAACAACTATATAAACTTTAATTTGCTTTATCTTTCGTCTAATCAAAGAAATAGAAGAGAAAAAAACACACTTTGAATACACTATCTAATCTTCTACACCTAGAGAAACTCGTCATCTGTCTGTGTTTCAACAATGTTTGATCCTATTCAGCTTTGATTTCATAATCTCATCTCTTCATTTTTGGTCATATAGCTGAGAATAAGTCTAGTTAACGAGTCAATTTCATGGTACAATTGAGTTCAACGCGTCTGAGAGAAAAGCTGTTCGTTTTTCTTTTCTCTATCTCCGTATGAAAAATAATGTGAGACTCAACAAGATCAGTCAATGAACACACTATGTAATTGTCACTGTAATAGGCGTTTTCACTTCACGCACACTTGCATCTACACTCTGCTCGTGCGTTATGAGTATTACTTTATAAATAACAAGAAATATCATTCAGCTAGTCCATATCTTTTAAAAAACTCATTTTAGGCGCAATTGATAATAATAATACTTTGTTGCAAGAGTTAGAGTACTTTCAAGACCAACTATTATATGTATATAATTTTATCTCATATAAAATTTAATAATTACTATTAAGAAAAAGAACTTCTTTCTTTATATTACGTACAGCTTTCAATATATCACCAAAATGGTACCTATATGAAAAAGTTTTTTGACTAAAAACTCATATCCTTTACAGATGGTGGTAACTTTTCTTAAAATAAAAAATAACTTTTATTTCAATTTTTTTTAAAACGATTTATTATCAATATGTGCTTCCATTAATTAAATCTTTAAGAGTTAACTATCAAAGTTAATCGTTTTTGTATTGTGTATGTTGGCAAATGGAAAGCAGTCATAGGAATGACGAAAGAAAATTTTCAATCATTTTCCTATTGCATCAACTTGTACTTTTTTTCGACATGTGAAATTACATAATGAGTCATATTTGTCGTAAAGAATAAAAAGGCCCATTTTCGTTTCTTCAGTCAGATCTTTGTTTAATACGTTCGAAGACAACATGATATCACAAGCAAAAATTTTACCACCAGAAATATGGTTATACACATTTACATTTCTGGAAGGACATGATGTTGTTCGATCATTTTCTTGTCTCAATGCATTCTTTAATTCTCTACTTCATTCACCACATTTACAATTACATATTCGAATTCGACAAAATGAATCAAATGAACGATTACCTGATTCGACTTGGTCACATATTCATCTACAAAATATCTATTCAATTTCGGTAGGACGACGAAAAGCTAATTGTCTTATTCAATTTTTACGATGGCATGCTCAATATCTCGTTAGTCTTCGATCGTTATCTATTTATTTAAGAAAATCAAAACTATATATTAATATTCAATTTCTAATTTTTGCACTGGAACAAATACCTTCTCTCAAGCGTATTCGTATTAAATATATAGCAAAATCTGATCAAAATATTGATAATTTAAAACCATTGACGACATATATTTTCAGTGAAAGATCCACTTTACAAAAATGTTCATTTGTTTTGAATATGTCTGATTACAATATGATAACTTCTCAATGGTCGATTAATCGGTTGTTAAAATACCTTAACATTAGTTCTATTTCCTCGATTGATTTAGTTTCTCTCCTATCATTTACACCTCAGTTACATTCACTTCAGACAACGATGGATGCGTGCAAAGTGATTTCATATAAAAATGTCGTTTTGACTCATCTTGAAAAAGTAAATCTACGTCTTGATCGATCGTATTTTACACAACTGGAAGCGTTCAAAGAAATCGTACCAAACTTACAATCTCTTCGATTAGAAGGTGATTTCAATACTAAAGACGATAACTTTTTTAACGAGAATATGTGGCATAAATTATTGAATAATATCAAATATTTTTATGTCAATTTAACAAAATTTGAATTTACAGACTCAGAAAAAATTAATTTAAAAAATCGTTTTCCTAATTGTGAAGGTAAAAGTTGGTTCAGTTGGGTAGAAAATGCACAGTATTTGAAAGTGATCATATCATTCAAATCAACAACAGAATAACTGAAAATGGTTCTATTATAAAGTGTTATCTCACAATTATCATGTTTTATGTTATATTTAGAATATAATTTGACAATAAAATGTATGAAATTAGGATTTTCTTTGTCTCATTGTAAAAGAAATAAAATTAATCACAAGTGATAATTTATATGAATGATTACAGAGTTATTGTATGATTAATGTTTTCACAATCTTTCAGAAAATGAGCTAGAGTGCGTTTTTCACTAGATATCGTTTAGAATAATAAATTGTCGAACGTTTGTAAGTATCATCTAATACTGAATAATCATAGTTCTTAGTAACAAAGTTCGTCGTTGATTACAGTGATGACACCTGATGAAGAAAGTTGAACGTTAAACTCTTTCTTTTTGTTTTCTCGTTTTATTAACTTTATTTCAATAAGATTTTGTTCCTAAGTTTTATCCAGGTAAACCCTAGTTTTCTTCTCGTGTTTGTTATCGTTGATTAATTAAATAATTAGGTTAAGACTAATAAATGTATATATATATATATCATTTATAGTGAAAAAATGGAACTTTACAAAATTTTCTACAATTTCGTTGTTGTAAAGAGAATGAGTAGAGATATATTTAAATAATATAAATGTTGCAATCAAAACTAAAATCGATCAAAAAAAAGTGGCATTCGCTTTTTGATCAAATTGTCTGTTGACAACAATCTTTTGACCATTCAGCTACGAACAATGATTAGTCGTATCTTTATTATGTTTTTTTTTTAAAAATTAAATGCTCTCTGTTTCGTGGTCATACTATTACATGATTAATTTTCATTGAATACTTTGTCTCGTATGATTTAAAGATAAATTTTTGCAAGTATTCTCTCAGTCGTCCACTATCGAGTGATTCAGGTCAAATTCTAATATGGCAGCAATATTCAAAGCTTCGTATCGTATGTCATCATACTAGTTAAATGTAGATATGAATATCATTGCTGATGAATACTATTACGCATATTCATTTTCAGGCAGTATTTCACGTGGTATCGCCCATCGTTCGGCGTCTTAATTAGTAGATTTTGTTCTTAGTGCACATGGTTGGAAGAGTTGAACTACTCAAATTAATATTTAAAGACGACTGAATGGATGTCGTAATACATGTAGCTACTATTTTTTCAAATATATACAAATCTATAATTAAATAACATGTATATATCGTTTAAATGTTTAATTTAAGTATCAGTGGTCGATTGATGCAACAGCTAATGTCAATACATTTGATTAATATAGTAATCTATAGTAAGGTGTGTTTGGCATCATTCTAATGTTTTATAGCTGTACAGTGACATTTACACTCAATATAATTAATAGTATTATTCGATAACTTAACAAATTGAAATTTCAATAATAATGCATCATTAATTCCTATTTTTTTTATCAATATCCTTTTTATTGTTATATTGACCCTTCAAATTGCAAGACTTTATCATCTACGATTGAAAATTGACAAAAACGTGATAAGAAAAGAAAAAAATTTTGAATTATACGGAATACCTTGATGTGTTTTAGTTTTTATCGGAATATCGACCTAATTCAAATATCATTGATTATGTCATTACATAGGTTGATTGTTCCGATAAATGAATTGATTCTTGTTTATAAGTAGTATCTCATATGTCCAATCTGAATAATGTTGCATTATATTCTTAGTAAGTTTTGCACACAGAACAAAAAAATTTCTATTTCTTGTAATATCTCTATTATGGATTTTAGGACGTTAAATTCTATTATAGTCAACAACGGTTCAATATACTTCCAGTATTTTTAAGCAAAAATGAGAGCCTGCTTAGGTCTATTCGTTGGAGTTTTTAAACTAACGAACAAAAAATAGATAGCAGTCTTATAGCGCTTGTAAAGCTCTATATCTTGTAGCTAGGTTAGTAAAATTTTTGTATCAATATCAGTCATGTAAAAGTGTTATTTCTTTTTCCAAATTTTGCAAAAATATCGGTTTTGCATCAACAATTTTGGTACTCTCACAAGGAAATGTTTTTACGGCTTCTAAGACCTTCTATCCAGAATTATAGACATTTTACGGAAGTTTTAGCCTATGACATGGCGAGTACTAATAATTTATTTATGAGTAAAGTGCTTTGAAAATTTCAGCTGAAAAGAATGTTGCCTGCCAGAAATATGAACGTCCTCAAACCTACTCATATTTCACGAAAGATTCTACAACTTTCTGTTTTTTTTTTTAGATTTTAAGATTTCGAGAAAGAAATATTTTTTTTGTAGAGAAATTTTCAGGATGTTCTACTCACAAATAGATCAATCTATGGGCCGAATTACAGGTCTAAATAATACCGCTATTCAATATATTGTTATATGCCATGCCATAGGCTAAAACTCCTGTATAATGACTATGATAATGGATAGAAAACTTATGGAGACTTATCTTTTTGGAGTTTTTTCATGCCTCATTAGGATCTATCGTATACACAGAGTTTTAAAAAAATGAATCAATGTAATTCCAGTTCATTTTAATTATAAGAGAAATGGATAGTGTATCAGACTGAAATTCCAGATTTTGAATAGGACTCTTTATTTTGGCACATTGTGTAAGATCTGAAAAAAAAAACAACAACTTTTGAAAATTAGACATGTCAGAGCCTCGCAGTATTGTGTATCTAATATTTCTGCTTAACATTTGTTTGGCAAAAGTAGTGATAATTTCTTTCAGAATGAGTCCTATAGAAAAAAAAAGGTTAAGATACGGCGATGAATCTTGACGATGATATTGAGAAAATACTTTGGGAAGAAGATTTACTCTCGTACACTCGTTATTTTTTTTTTTCATATTTCTAATAAAAGATCAATTTATTATAAGACAACATGTCAAAGGTATGAAAATGTAAAAAGAAAATTAAAATATTTTATTAGTAATCCCGAGAACATTGCTTCTAATATTAGTATATGATAATATTTGATTTGAGTGGAATGTATTTATTTATGTGTCAGAAATAAAATTGCTTGGTTAACGTCGTCCAGCTAATGGTTGTGTTAACATATGAACAAGATTATCATAAAAAACACGACCATCAGATTCAACATTTAATTCACGTAATATAAGATCAACTAAAGAGAATAAAAGATATTCAAAATATTAATAAATGATTATTAATTTTTTTTTTTTGGTTTTTTTCACTTACCATCTCTATCGGTTAATTTTTCGCCTGTATTAGTTAAAATATATCTTAATTGTTTAGCATCGACATAACCAAATCGTTGTGTATCATAATGTTGGAATGCTGCTAAGATTTCATTTGGTGCATCTTCATTTGATCGATGTTCCAAAACAATTTTAAGAAAATCATCAAATTCAACAACGCCAGCATCTATTAAAATTAATGAAATTGTACAATTCTTCACTTTGGTTATATACCTTTTTTATATTTAGCAAAGTAACGTTTAAGTTCAGCAATTGTCGGTGCCATGCTCAATGATCGCATTATAAAGCACAATTTATCTGGCGTATCGACATAGCCTTGTGGAGCGAATAATTGAAAACATTGACGGAAGTCTATTAATAAATAAGTAATAATAATAATAATATTTAATAACTTACTATCAATTTCTTCTTCTTTGAAATTCTTTGACTAAAATAATAAAATTTAAAAAAAAAGTTGAATAATCATATCGATTACATACCATTGTTCAATGAATAAAACAAACAAAGTACTAATCTACAAATAAAAATTTAACAATCAAACAAAATATAGACATAGAATGAAAACAGTGATAATAATTTATTAATAACAATAAAATAAAATTCTAATAATAATAAATATTATTGACCCAATTTTGCAAGCTAGAATTAAAAAAAAAAGAATAAATAAATACTTATAATCAAAAGAAGTTCTTCAATTACTTGTTCAAGAAATTGAGAAGCATTCACGAGTTCTGTACATCCATAGATAATCCGTTTTGTTGTCGTTGATCGTATTTTAGCATAATCTTGTAGATTTTGATATTCAATATAATTACCACCACCAATCATAAATACAATAGCATCATTAAATCCTTGTCGATTACGAACAACATTTGCACTAAATATCAAAGTGAAGAGTTTTTTTTTTTTTTTTCTTTATTAAATTAAAAATTATTTTCAATATTAGTTTATTAATTATTCTTTTCTATTCTTCATTTCCTTAGATAAATAATTATGTTTTTGAAAAAAAAAAATTGTATTTACTTGTCTGTTGATCGTAGTTTTGGATCAAAATAACGATAATCATCTGTTTCAGGTGATGAACGACATTCCATTAGATTATCCACTATTTTTGTTACTGGTAATTTCTAAAATAATTCAAATAATGAAAATATTAAACAAAACAATAGATATTTACATATTGTTTTACAACAAGATTTTTAACACCTTCCATAGCAAATTTCGAAGCTTTGTTCACCAAATTCGAAAACATTCTATAGAAAACAAATACATGTTTTAAAGATCAATTATGTAAAAAGTGTTATCGATTAGTTTGAACGTTCTATTACTTCCTCTTCAAGATATCATTAAAAGAAAACTAACATGGAGTCTAACGAGAGTTCAAACAAATCTAATTGTTGTCGAACGGAATTTTCGGTTATGATCTGTGTCACAACGAAGTCATGCATTCTGAAACGACATGACTTTTCGAAACATTGATTAATTTAGTCCAGTATGTATAAACGAAAACTTAACACGTTAAAAAAAAAAATCGTATTTTTTTTTTAGTAAGTGTTTTGAATGAATATGATGAACTAGTGAAAGAAGATCTATTCAAGTTTGCTGATTAGTTGCTGTCTTCAATAATATCGGGTGTCCCAGAAAGAATGGGCCTCTCAGTATTTTTAAGATTTCTTCTCTATTATCCCTCTAATTAAAGGTCTCTTTATTATCAAAAGATAATGCTTGAAATTCTCTACAAAACCATATATGAGTTGGCCCAAAAATTGTCTTAGATATATTTGAAAAAGACGAAAACTAAAGACATGAAAACAGCTGTAAAATATAAATATGTCACTAATAATAAACAGCCGCACTTTGTATTTCATTTTGTAATCTCTAAATTGGTTTTATTAAAAAAACAAAATATACCATAAGATGCAAGATGAAAAGCTCTACAATCTACTAACTAAAGTTTATTTTAATTGTATACTTTTTGTTTTCAAAAAAAAGCAAAACTCTGTGCGATGGATTTTCGTCGTTGCGAAAACCGATCATATAGAGTTTGGAGTTATTTTCAACTTAAAAATGACCCAAATAAGATAAATTGTTCTTTGTAAATTGTAGAGCTATTGACGCTGCATCTTGCAATACATTTTGATTTTTTTTAAGGAACTATATTAGGTGGTAAAAAGATAAAATAAGAAAAGGAATTCTCGTTCGTGTAAAAACCAGTGATTTTTTTCGCAATGGCGAAAATTGGTTGCACAAAATTTTGCTTCTTTTGTAAACAAAATATATACAATTAAAATAGACTTTAATTTCTAGATTGTAGAGCTTTTCACCCTGCATCTTATGGTATATTTTGTTTTTTTTAGTAAAACATATTTAAAGATATATATATATGAAATGCAAAGTGCGGGCATTTATTATGGAACACCCGTTATTTACATTTTACAGTTTTTGTATGCCTTTAGTTTTCGTCTTTTTTCAAATATATCTAAGACAGTTTTNAATTCTTAATGTTCAGGCTTCATAGTATTCAGCTATGCGTTCCTCTCAAATTTCGTTTTTCTGACGAAATTTGACATTTTTGAGGGAGGGGGGGGGGGGGCTTAAGACAGATTTAGTGGCTTACTTAAATATCTCGAGTCCGATGTTTACTTTGTATGTAAAAAAAGTAAAAATGTTCTTTTTCTTACCCCATTGTTGTTGTTCCACCTTCTCTTGTTTGTGAAACAACACTTAAATTACTAATTGATTTCCAACGTTTGATATATGTAATTGCATCTAAACATGTACAATTTGATCCTCGTAGAATTGTTATATATTGATCAAGTTCAATCTAAATGAAAATAATATTGAATGTTTGAGATAAATTTTTGATTATATACTTGTGTCATTGTTGGTGTACAAATATAATGAATTAGAAATAGACGAAGTTTATCTTCTGGTGTACCAGCTAAAATATATTGATTGTATTATTTTAAATTATTTTGTTTCTTTTATTCTACCTGCTGGATCAGAAAGAACTTCCATAAGAATTTTTTCCTATTAATATTTATAATAAAAAAAAGATAATAGAAAAAAGAATTTTTATTTACTTGAACTTGTTTAGTCATTAATTTTTCTTCTGTTTCAAAGAAGATATCGAGTTTTCGTTTCTATTACAAAAAGAAAACGATTAAATATCTAAATAAAAATAAATCAAATTACTTTAATTTGATCAAGAAGAGCAGTTGCTATATTTGTATGCGCATCAAGTAATCGTTTTTTCTCTAATAATTCTGGTAAAGAACTGACTGCACTTGTTAATTTACTTGTCGTATCATTCAATAGACTGATAGCTAAATCTTGTGTATCGCCTTCAATACCCTACGAAAAAAAAAAAAAACTATTTCTCTTAAATATTAAATAAAATCTTGAATACAAACAAACCATTGCAGATTTAAGTCGTTTAACTTCATCTTCGGATTGTCGATATCGTTCGAGTTCTTCTTGAATTGATTCGGCAACAATTGGAAAAGGACTTAAATAGTTAATCAAACATCATGTACTGAAGATTTTTATAAAAGATAATTCTACTAACTTTCCTTTTTGTTGTTTCCAAAATTTATCTGTCGGTATTAGATCATATGTACGTCTTTTCGATGGATGTCGTCCGTCATTCAATACAATCGATTCATCGACTTCTTCAATTTCAACTCGATTTAATTTAAAATCCTATATTTTTCACGTTTTCTTTTTGTCTTGAAATGTATCTTTCAATTTACTTACCAAAACATCATGAGCTAATGCTTGATAAGTCCATGTATGATGAAGAAGAGATGCTAAATCAGTGCTTCGATCCAAAATGACAAGAAGTGGTCGCTGAAAACTGAAAATATAAAAATCAATTCTTCATTATTAACAACACATCAAAGAGTGTAGCTCATCAATATCGATTGAAAATGGAACTGACAGAATTGGGTCATTTCGATGTACCATGAAAACATTGATATATCTAAGTCATCTGCACTAGCGACAAAGCTCTAATCGACAATAGTTATGAGATAAATTTTTATTAGAAAAAAAAAATATTCTAAAACTGTTTTCTTCTCGGCTAATTTGAATTAGGTTAGAAAACACTCTGTAATCATTGATACCTGAAATCGTAAGCGCTACCGACAGTAGTGCGAACAAACATGAGACATGAGTAGGCAATGATTTTAAATTTCAAGTGTTAAAAGATGCTTCCTATTCCTCACCTTAGTTTTCTTTACTTTTGTTAAGTATTTTAACTAACCTTAAAGCTCCTATAGCCATTGAATCAGATGAGAATAGACTATTTCGATGATCACGTAAATGCTCTCGTAATTTCTCATCAAGTTTCTATATTAAACAAAATAATTAAAAACATATTTATTCATTTAAAACTAATAACAAACCTGTCCTACAATTTCAGCTGCTTCACCAATTGGACATCGAATAATTGGTACTGAACCTAAGTTAAAACAGAAGCAAATATTATTTCTGATCAAAAAGAATTTTGATTCATACCGAGTGTAACACAAATAGAAAAGAGGCTATTAACAATTTTTTTAATGATTTCATCCATGTCAAAATCAAGCATTTTAGGACGATTAAGAGCTAAATATTAGAACTTCGATATTTCATTTAATAAACTATTGTTTATTTACCATAATAAGATATACTATCTTTGCCTACTTGCCGTAAACAAAATAGATCATCTTCAAGTGTAATAAAATCAAGATATTGATCATAAATCTATACAAAAAATGAATTATTCAATTCTAGATTCCAGAAAAACTAATTTGTTTTTTTTTTTGTTACTTTAGTAATATTTTGTTGACAATTTGATTCAAGTACAGCTGTAGCTAAATCCTCAAGAAGATCACGTGGAATTGGTGCAAGAAAATTCAAATAGTACGATTCATATAAGCCTTCGGCTAAATCCTACATTCTCAATACATAGATAATCAAAATCTTATTCATGAATGTTTACTTTTTCTATTCGAGATATATTATCTTTTGTTGGCGTAATAAAATACACAGCAGCAATTTCATCGACTGGATCACGATCTGATTTTAATGATCTAGAGCAAAAAAGAAAACATCTTCATTTGTGTATTATCCTGCTTTCAAAGCACTTACATATGCAGTGTTACACCAAGATCACGAAGTTCTTTTACAGTAAGTAATGGAGAAATAATATCTTGACCTAATTCATCATAAATAAGAACTTTCCAAGCTGTATCTACCGCAGATGAACTTGATATAGATGATGGAGAAGTATTTAGGTTGATGATTTGTTTGAGAGCAGCTATAAATATATAAATTATTGATTTATCTTCATTAAAAATATGTCATCTCAAGACTAACCAATATGACGATCGCGTAAAGATAATGGTCCGATAGACGAGGAAGTCATCGTTGAGCGAAATTAAACAAACGAAAAAAGGTCGATGAGCAATTAGTGAATGATACAGATTATGATGATGTTGGCAAAAGAAAAGAGAGAGATTATATTAGTTTATTTATTTGGTATTGATTTTTATCCATTCGAATTACAGCACAGTACTAGAGGGCGCTATGAGACATCAGTATACTGTTATAAAAGTCAGATATTATATTACTCCAAGAATTACTCGTACCAGCAGTCCTCATTTGATATCACTTTTCAAAATCTACTGTTCGATTATCTTTTAAATAATAAAAAAGTTTTGACTGTTAGTGTCACAGGAGGCTATAAATGGTTACTCTAGTTCAGATTCGTACTTCACGGTGAGAATAAATTATTTTTGAAATGCTAGAACACATATTTAGAATTCTCCAGGTGTTTATCAATGATGTCAATGTCTCTAAGATATTTCTATGTTCCAAAGTTGTACATGGTGCATTTATTGTAGTAAAATAACGCTAGATAATTGATGACAATGTCAGAAAAACCATAAAATAAATTACATTGATAATCAAAAAGTTAAACAGTATAAATCGCATTAATTATTGCTATGGCAGAATACTTTGTTTGTTTTTTAAACGATACCATTTATCGAACTTTTCTGAAATATCTGGAGGAAGTATTTACTTTTTTTTTCTTATATCTAGCAACTTTCACATATAATCGAGTGTCACACAACTAAAGTCTTATATTTTAATCAATTGTCGATTCATCCTTTTCTCATTAAAGCTGAATAATGACTAAAAATAGATAATTTTAATACATATTATCCAAATCAATTGCTGATCAATAACGATATGAGACGCTTAGATTAGATGACCTAGAAAGACGTCGTATTATCGTTCTCGGTCATCGTGAGGTAGAACCCTCGCTCAAGAAACGAAAGAAGTTGATAGTGTAACTATTCATTTTCTTGTTCTATTCTATTCTTAAAGCGTACTTCGTACAGCACACTGTAAATGACACTGATTGTGAGTAAATCTTTAATTCAAATCAAATAGGCAAAATTGACGATGATATTTTACGTTTGTGTCTCGCTGCCTGTATCAAAAACTATGTGTTACAGGCATTCTTTTTGTCAGCAATACCGGTCTCAATATCTGAACTGACAAAGAAAAACATGGTAGATTTCAGGTTTCATTGTTTGAATTAGTTGGACATTGAGTCTACAAACAATGATAATAAAAAAGTAAAGAATTGTAAATTTTTTAATAATTGATCATTTTGTTAACAATATTACAGGTGATGCTTATTGATAAAGAAAACGAAGTTCAATAGAACCAAATAAAGAGGTAAATCTACTAACTAATAGTATTCATATTCTAGTTTTTCAATGTTCTAAATCGTATCGGTGAGAATACTAAGCTAAATTTCTAATAAAACTACTTTTTGACATTAGATTATGTATTTTTTTGTAGAAAATTGGATCCTCGTCATCACCACTATTGGTAGTAATATAAATTAACACCCGACAGAAACACTTAAAAGCAATGTAACTATATCTTTCATGAATCAGCCTGCGATATGAATATTATGAAACGGCTACACNGCAACACTTACTCGTGCATAATTTTCGTCAACATCACCTTATTCAATATCTTCTATTCGACATGCATTAATTGAAGATAATGCTTATTTTCAAGTGGTTTTCAATAAAAGCAAGAGAAGAATGAAAAACAATTCTCAGCACGAGGAGACAATATTGTTGAAAAACCCATAGTAATATAAAATATATAATATGTTTTTTAAATGAATCTAAACCGAATGGAATCGAATCGAATTGAAATTTGTTCTTTGTCGAATCGAATACAAAACTTTGAAAGCGAATCCGAATCGAATTGAATAGAGTATAACTTTTGTCGAGTCGAATGGAACCGAACCGAACCGAACTTTTATCATTCTTTTCGCACTCTGGTTGCTAAGGTCAAGGTCTGGAATGGAGGGGGGGGGCGTGGATGTCGGGTGTCGGTGTGAGTGAGTGTGAATAAAGACAATACACTTACACCCACAAAAATGCTAAATTTTAGCTGAAAATTATCATCTTTTTTCTCGTAATTATCTATTAGAAACAAATGCGGTAGATCAACATCGAATATATGGAAATTTCTATGAAAATTTTAAATGAGTAAAATCGGTTGTTTTATATCGAAGAATTTAAATGTTCAACTGTCATCATATTAGGTGACTGTTAGCCATTTCAGTTGTTCGAAATAAAAAAGATGCAACTAATAAATTTATGAAAAAGAAAAGGGATATTGAACACCTCGAGGATGTACAGGCAGACAGATAAACGCTAAAACGCCGTTTCGATGCATTGGAGATGAAAATAGAGGAAAACAACGCGTTGTAACTCGTTCACTCGACAAATTGAAGAAATGAACGAGTTTCAACGCGTTTAACTTTTTGTTAACGTATTTTAACGGATTGAAGAAACGTATTAGGACAAGTAACATGTTGTAACGTATTCAATAGAAGAATTAGAGACATTAATGCATTTTAACATAGAAATACATTCGTTTTAACCAGTTAAGGAAAGTGCATAACAAGTTGTAGAATCAATGTCATTTTCAGAAAGTACAGTTGTGCGTCAGTAAGCACAATGATGTATCGACCAATATCAGTTTCGGTTACTCTTAGACAATAATTTGTTTTTTTTTAATTTTTATGTGTATATTTATGAATGTTTAAATTAGAGAGTTTTAGAAAGCATCAGCTTTCTTCTTCAGTGTTTTCAATAAAAGAAACAACAAAATCATAAGTGGAAAATTGTCTATACATACTTATTGTTTTTTTCCTTCTTTTTCTTATAATGTTGCTATGGAAGCAGATGAACTCTAACTCATATCGTCCAGTAATACTATCCTGTTCCTTTCTTTCGTACTTGAATTATAAGAAAAAGATAAAAGAAAAATATATCGACACTTGTGAACTTGCTATTTTGTTGCGTTGTATTTCATTTCAATTATAAAGACTCAAAACGAAAGCTGATACTCTCAAAATGTCTCTAAACTAAATATTTAGAAATATATAAATAAAAATTAAAAAATTATTGTTAAATAGTAATTGAAATTGAACGAATCACAGTGGTTATTCTAGGGGTGAGAAAGTTATTGTTATTGTTTTTGTTATTAATAACAATAACATTAGCTTTTTGATTCAAAACGAACAATGAAACAAATCTAAGCATAGTTTGTACGAACGTCAAAGAATTACTCTAGTATCACAGTATCTTTTGTTACCATTTGATATAAGAACTTGTGGTAAATATTTTGAGAAATTTTAATATAACATATTTTGTTATTGTTATTGCTAAATAACAATAACAAAATATATTATGTTAGTATTTCTCAAAATATTCACCACAAGTTCTTATATCAAATGGTAACAAAAGATACTATATTACTAAAGTGATCTTTTGACGTTCATACATTCTATGCTTAGAATTGCTTCATTGATTGTTTTGAAACAAAAAAAGTTAATGTTATTGTTATTAATAACAAAAACAGTAACAATAACTTTCTCACCCCTAGGTTATTCAATGAGACCAAAAGAATATCGAAAAAAATATTCGTTCAGAGTTGTTGTAGTTATAGAAATGTTAGTTTGCTTTTCCGGAGTTTTCGTTTAATATAAGTAGAAAATTTAATTTATCTTTATCTAGAAACACGTGAGTATAGTCGAATAGTAAGTTAGATGACTCGTAATTATAGGACTGTTCGGTCAAATCTATACTAGAGCACAAAACAAAATTAGTTAAAATGCATTTCCAACAGTCCACAATGCAAAACTAACGCGTCACGATGAATTCTTTTTTTCTTTCGTTGAACGCATTTTCAACAGTCAAAAATGTCCGAATTTTCGCGTTTTAACGCTCAGGTATCAGAAACGCATTTAAACGCTTTCTTCTTCTTTCATTCTAACGATGCGAAAGCTTAGGATATTGCCACTGTTAAAACGCCCAAATTCGGACACTTTTGACTGTGTAAAATGCGTTCAAAGACAGAACGCGAAACGGTTGTTATAACGCGTCAAATTGACTTTTCTGACTGCTTGGGTGTGGATGTCAATGCTGGTTTCTGGAGGAGAGTAGGGTTGGTATGGCAAGTAAAATTTTATCACTCATTCCCACACTAATTCATGTCTGTTCAAGAAAAATCAAGTCCATTGGCTGCAATCCTAGAAGCTACATAAGGCAGATATAGAGCGAATTTCAGAAGATCAAGATATTCTTTTTGTGGATGAAATGCTAATATTTTGAAACAGGTCAATAGTTTAAGATAGAATATAGCACTATTTGAGTCTAGCGGAGACACGCTGAATGTCTTGGTTGACTATGCCAATAAACGGATGTGTTGGAGGCAATGTTGCATGAAATATAGATGATGCTTTTTGAAAATTAGTTAATGCCTGTTGAAAATCTTCCTTGCCAGCATACAGCAGACCAAGATTGTAGTGCAACATTCCAATATCTTGATGTTGACTAGGCAGTGATTTTTGATAGATTTCTAATGCCATATTATAATATTGCAATGCAAGGTCTGGATAATTAAGACACATATAAATGCCAGCAATACACTGTACGGATGCACCTATGTCCGGATGGTTGGTAGGCAGATGTTTTTGTCGAATCATCAATGACTTTTGATGACATTCGAATGCTTCTTGAAATTTTTTCTCTTCTTGATAAACATTGCCCATATTATGATAACACATTGCCACTTGTAAATGTTCTTCCCCAAATGCTTTTTTGCGAATATTTAATGCTTTTTTAAATGATTCGAGAGCATCCGTACGATTTCCTTTTCGGAAATGAACTTCGCCAATACTATTGTAAGTAGTTGCGATAACAGGATCGTCAGGTTTACGCGCTTTATTATACATTTCAAGTGCTTTGGCAAACCAGTCAAGACTTGCATCATATTTGCCTTTGTGATTTGCGACCATGCCAAGATTATGATAACAAGGAGCTAAATCTGGATGATCACGAGGCAATTCGCTTAGTAAACGATTACAATATTTCTCGGCTTTATCGTATTGTCCCATTTTGAACAGAAGAATACCGAATGAGAAATCACTTGATCCTGAATCGTCTTCATCGTACTCCTTCTTCATATGGTCATAAATAGGTTTCAAACTATTATCACTATCACTACACATGGCCATTTGAGCAATCCACACTCCTTTTTGACAATCAATGTTAACCAGTTGAAATACTGATCCCAACATGATCAGTACTTCTTGTTCATTGGTAAAAAAACTGTTTGATGTAATATCAGCAAACGGTTTGATACCAATAAGTGTTGGATCAAGATCGATTTCGAATAGAATACGTTGAAGATCACAGGATGATGTAGAACTAGAGAGAAACGATAAAGCAAGTCGCCGATCAAGACTAGTGGAAAGAAATGAGTTCATCGAAATGAATTGTCCCATGCAAGCTTTTAATGTTTCCAGTTCATCTTTTGATATAACTTGACCACGATAGACATGAAGAGAAGTTGAACATTGAAGTTTTTGAAGTTGTGTTTGAATATCACGCATGAAGAACCGAAAGAGAAAGAGTAAATCAATATCTTGCGTTCGAAGAGCTTTGTTCAATAGTCGATAGAGAAATGATTCTCTCGTATACCACCATAGAGCACGATCAGATACATAATCTTTTTCAAACTCTTGAACGATTGCCAATTCACTTGAATTATCTTTGTAGAACTTTTTACATCGATCGATCAATTCAGTTTTATCTGTTGCTTTTGGTTTCATGCGCAGAAGACGATCTATTAATAATTGAGAGAAAACAAATTGACCATTGAGTCCCGTTGTTGATTTTTCTGATTGACTATTCGCATTAAAAATATTGATGGGAAGAATTTCATCGACCTTATTACGAAGTCTTGTTGCTTGATCCGATAGAATTTGCTCGACAAGTGCATTCAATTGCGTATCTATGCTTTTAACCTAAAAATGAAATTATTTCAACACGATTCGTGATCTTTATAATCAACTTCGAAATAACAGATTCTAGAGATCATCTTAATTATTCCTTTTCTTTTCTCTATGAAACTCGTAAGACTGTTTTAAAGACGACAGGATGTGTTCGAGTCGTTAGAGTGAACTACAATGTTTTACAAAAATGGTTTGAATCGAAAGAACAACGTCTCGACTTTCACTATCATTTTACTATTTACCTTCTCGAATTTTTTCGTCCAATCGTTGTTTTGTTTTTTATTTAGACAGTAGATATAGATTGTAAAAATCTGTGGTAGTGAGTGAATCCGAGTGACCAGATCTTGACCCAATTGATCGCTAGTAACTAAGACAATTCGATCTTCTGTACATACAGATCGTATATACGACTCGCATTGTTCGACGTCATCAAATGTCTTTAGATGATTGATTATTTTACGAAGTCGCTTTTGAGCTTCGATATACTCGCTAACTTCATTAACAGCAGATTCGAGCCAAACTAAAGAGTAGGTTTCAATATTATTTTCATGTACTTCGGTTGAGGTAGAGTGAATTGTTGTCGCCATTTAACACTTTCTTCTTCTGACGATGACTACACGTTGACTCCCGTGAATGCTGAATAACAATTCTGAAATAAATAATTTCATTCTTATTCAATGTTGTGTTGATTCTATAGAGAAAAAGGATTTTTTTTCTCTCGTTCGTTGCTCGTCGGTTATCGACAACACAGGTAAGTTGTAGCGGAGTATTAAAAAGACGTCGGCTGCACGAATGAATCATAAGACGAGAGAAAAAGAAGACGCTTATTTTGTGTAGCAAGAAAACTTCGGCCGATATGTTCACAAGGATGCATGGTAAAAAGAATAAAAAACATTGATATTTATTTCTGAAGCACTATTCAAAACATATGATGATATTCTTTAAATCCACTTTTAACAGCCAAGAGGTGAAACATGTTTATTTCGATTTATTGGATAATGATATTTTCTATATTCATGAGAAGAGTAAGTGATGCGATATAATGTCATAGATGCGCTTTACTGAGATTTTGATCAGAAAGAACAGGGTTTAGTACAAAAGTCCATTAAAGATTTTAATTGGAAACATTTTACAAGTTAAAAAAAAGAGACAAGCACCGTATCTATATAGTTGTGCATTACTGGAAGGATTTTAATGTGCAACGAAAACACAGGGTCTAAGATAAAAAAGCATACACAATACGAAATGAGCTAAAAATTGATCTGATCAATTTGAAACAGATGAACTCAAAGAAAAATTTTCACGATATATATGTCACAGGAAATCTCTACCCTATTCCTAAACAAATCGACAAGCAAAAAACTCAATCATTCATTTATTGTTGCATACGTAATGCATAGTCAGAGATGGAGCGACTGTTCAAATTATATACTGTATTCAAAAAAAGAAGCTTCATAGGATTTATGTTTTCGCTTCGAAACCAAGAAACGCATTCAAAAATTCCCGATTATTGGGTCATGGATGGCTTCACAGATGTAACATACCTCGATCACGCCACCATTGAATCAGTTACATTGTTAAAATGCTTTCGAACATGTTTTACGTCTTCAGTGCATCTATTACCATCAGTGCTGGGAGTTATTGTACCATAGAGAATCACAAATAGAACCTTAATAAATTTCGGATACACACGTTTCATACCAACACAATATTAGAATTATTCTGGAAGTTACTTGGAAAATCTAGTCAAGCCTTTTTATATTCGTGATCTGAATGGCCTTTTCTGAATGCATTAGATGTGGTATTTTAAATTTAAAAATACTTAAAATGGAACTATACAGATAATTTGTTTATATTATTTTTCACAAGGAACTAGAAGTTAAAGTACAAAATATTTTTAGTGCTACATGTTCCATTATCTAAAGTCTTTAAGCCCTTTAAGCAGAGATAAAATGATAAAACGAATTCAAGTTTAGAATTTCTTACAGATAAAAGTGCTGTTTTCTTAATTTATTCTGATTTCCATCATTTATGTTAATCAACAAGTTCTATAGAGTTCGCGTGCATCCAAAACTGATCAAGAATGACAATTGAATAAAAAATATCAAAATAGAAAAGAATTACTTGAATTTAATTTTTATTTTAGCTTTAAACAAACTATTTCACTTAAAACTTCGAACCAAAGCTAAAGTGCTACAGCTAGAATAAATTCATCGTTGAACAATAAATTATTTAGATCGTCTGACTATTTTTATCCGATGTAACTCCGAATCTTTCATAGTTATCTTAACAAATTTAATACAATGTGAATATTGTCATGAACTTACTTCAGATATCAATTGCAACTCAGAAAGTAGGCATTATTTCCAAATTCACATACTTCATACACAGATTGCGACAGAACTTTTTTTCTCTTAAAAAGTCATATGGCAATTATAGAGGAGATTCAATGAGCATTCATAGTTTTCTAGTAAGCTCCCTGGAGTCGGATGTGTAGGAGCCGTGATCGACTCTTATCGAATCACTTTATAAAACAACTTAACTTTGTCTTGGTTTGAAATAGCTTAAAATGTGTTCACGCCCGTCCAATAGAACATGTCGTCAGAACACGTTCATGCACTTTGAAAATATTGCATGTTAGACGCAGTCAAATGCGTTTATACATCTCTGGATAAAAAAAACACCTGTGCATACGATTCAAAGTTCTAACGGGTATTCATATTCAAAAATGTTACAAGGGTTATTTTAGCCTTTCAAGAACTAATAGTCCAAATAAAAAAAACATGAAAAAATCTACACAGAAAAAGCATATAATATGGGTCAGATTAAGAGCCACTGTTACATCGATTGATTTGACTGACACACATAATATTGTGTGAAATTGCAGTCGCTAAAAAATAAAACTGTTCCCTTTCTCGTTAATATTTTCCTTGACGAAACTCAATGATTATCGATTTTCACATTTGTAACCTACCATTCAATTTTGTTTCAATAAACTAATAACGTAGTGCTCTACGATAATTACTTATTGATGTATCGACGTCCTCACACATGAGAAAAAGAAACGCCAAAAAAGAGAGAGTGATTCAATGGAAGACAGTAGCTCGAAAAAAATTAAACAAAGCAAATATTTCTTGTCGTTGTTTCTTTCCTTCTGCATTGATGAGAACACCCGTCTGATTTTTTCATTAAAAAAACAATTTTTTGTGACTATGCATAATCAATTCATTATATGCATTCGATTTTTTATTTAGTTATTCAATGGCGGATTATATTTCTGTGTAGTGTCACTTTTATACATCTACCAACTAGATTTCATTTTTTCTCTTGAAAAACTATTCGACCTGTCCACGTAACGGTCCACCATGGTGTGAAAATTCGAACCACAGAGTTAGCCGAAACAAATATAAGCGTCTTGTAGAGATATGTTGGTAGCTTAGGAAAACGTGTTTTTCATTTCTGAGGGTCTATTTTTATTCAAGAAAAAAACTATTGTTAAAGACATGTCGTACTGAATCAACGAAGGGTAAAATGTAGCATCGTTTTTGTAGCCTGACTTTTCTTATCAGCAAATATACTATTTGTAAACTCGATCATATAATGTTAAACTAAACTGAATGGCCTCTTTGTTTATACCAACGGATGCAACTCTCGTTGATTCCCGAAATAGCTATAGGCATTTGCAAACTACCCCATTTGTGAGCGTTATTCTGTCACGAAAACATGTTGTAATTCATTTTAAAGTTTCAATAAGAAATTTTGAATTTCGTCAGTAAGTGCTCTAACGCTAACTTTTTATGCTCTATCAGAGAAATCAATCAGCTTTCTTTTTAACATTCAAGTCTAGTTGGATGAGCGTGACGGAATAACCATCGAAAAAGTCATTTTTTTGTATACAAATTAGAGGTATTGTCTTTCTCACATGTTATCATTCTACATAGATAACCTGGCGTCCAGAAGAGATTTAAACGCTTCGCTGACTAATTAGTCTGTAAGAATGTGTGTGTGGGTGTGTGATGTAAATGTGGGTTTGGATGTGGATGCGTAGGTCTTCCCTAACATGTACACTTACACCCACACCCCTGTCGTGTTTTTTGAAATATCTGTCTTAATGGATATTGTCCATTATAGTGTCCTATAATAACTGACGATAAACTGTTAAACCTCCTGAGGACCGCTGTCTTCAGGCTGAAGACAAACAGAACGAAAGAAAATTTTTTTCATTCTGGCGTATCGTTGAACATATGTTTAAAAAGCAGAAAATGGATAGAGGATCGTTCATTCAGCCGATGGTGATTACTGATTATTTTCTTCTAACTAAGAAGAAAATATCAGCTAAATTTAGTTCAATAGTTATTCAATATTATGCTCCTATTTTTTAGATCATGTTATAGTTCATACTATATTTTACTATGAAATGCATCAAAACAGGCTGGATAACAAAAAAGCAGGTGTATCAGGACATGTCCGACAAAAATAGATAGTTTGTTTTCGAACTTATTTCGAACGACATAATACACAGCGTTGTTGAACATGACCCTGTCTATTTTCATTATAATCTGTCTTGCCTAAATTCAAAAATAAGAACACAGATTCATTACAAACGAACTTCAAGCTTACTTGAGAAATGTTGAAATTTCATAAGTTTTTGAGGTATATTACTGTTTGACACAGATGTAATACGTTTTTGAGGTGGTGTNCAGATGATGCTGATTATGATGAGAATGTCAAATCGAAAAACTAAATTTTATCGAGTGCTACGATTCCTCGGTGCCCTCATGGATGCTGTCTTAAAATCCTGATTAGGATTGATAATGTGTTGCGAAGTTTGACAGGCATATTCTTGAGAAGTTCTGAAGAAGATCCTGATTGAAACTTTTCAGGATTAGTCAGTTTCGTATTCTGAGTAATCTTATTATTTTTTTAGTAGAATCCTCGTGCGATGTGACTATCACTCCTGACAGGATCCTGATACGAAGATTTGACCTAGATCCTGACGAGAACTTGATAAAATCTTGGCAGAATCCTGTATTCTCAACTCAGAAAAATATCTGAGCAGGAACTTACAGAAATCTTGAACAGGATCCTTCTTGGAAACAGGAATTGCTAGGATTCGAAACAGGATCCTGAATAAAACTTGACAAGATCCTTGCGATTGAGGATCTTTAATTGACGATGTAGTAATAATCAACTGTTGTTATTTACTATATCCATTGTAAGTGATTGCGATTTTTTCAAGCTATTTATGCTTCAATAAGACGAAAAAATTATACTTGGTATGACAAAAAATAATTCCTAGTGAATAATGCAATGTTCTCTCATGATCACGCGGAGTAGAGGTCTGCGGGACAAACTTTTTTTGTGTCCCGATCCCGAATGTCCCGTCCCGAAGTTTTTCAAATTGTCCCGTAAAATCCCGTTTGTCCCGTTCATCAGAAAAAATATAAATATGTGATTCTGCCGAAGACGACAACACGTATTTTCTTTACCACCAATAGAAAAAACGGAACAAGTCAAGTTTTTGTAAACATCTTAATTTTTGCGACTACTTGATTGCTACAGCTTTATTATGCACAGAAAACGATAACTAGGGGTGGTGCATTAGAATTAGCATTGGCATTTATTAATACTAATGCTAATCCATTAAGCATTAGTATTAAAATTAACCTTAATGCTTTAGCATTAATGGCATTAGTGTTAAGTAATGCTAACACCCATGCATTACTTAATACTAATGTTCAAAGCATTAGCATTTTTTTACTACTAATACTAATTTACCACCCCTAACGATAACATAACCAAAAGAATCCGGCGGTCATCCATCTGGACTCCATTTTAGATCATTGGAAACTTTGAAAAGTGCTCGGTCTCCCTTACCTAATTTAAATGGAAAAGTGCAGAAAAATTTCAATAAAATAAGAAATCTTTGATATAAATAAAAAAATAAGTCAAAAGAGCAAAACAAAAATGAGTGCGCATTGAATACTGTATAAATATGAATGGATGATCCAATAATATAGCATGATAAGTAAATAAGAAATCGATTTATTCAAACACAATAGCAAATACACATCGTAAAAGAATATCAATTGGAGTCATTAAGTCTCTCAGTATTTCTTTTATTTTCTGTTATTTGTTGAAAATATTCACATTTTTGTTAGAAATAAAAAAGTTAAAGTGTACGACACGTTTTCATATATGGATAAAAGAATTCGGGACATAGATTTTTTTCTGTATTGTCCCGATCCCGTTTGTCCTGTCCCGAAAAAATTTCGGGACAATCCCGATTGTTCCGCGGGACGGGACAAACGGGATTTTTCGGGATTCGGGACTATCCCGGAGTACTCTAACGCGGAAACTTTTATGCAAATTTCAATTTCCCGTTTGATAGAGGCTGTCATCATCTATGCTTGATGGATGCGCAAAGATGCGGATTTAAGAGAACCCCCATTGCCTACTCAAAATGATCAGTTTTAAATGAGTACATTTCAAGAAGGCAAAGACACTTTTCTGTGTGTAAAACAGTCGGAGGAAAAAATGTTGTATGCTAAAATAGATAAAAAGGGCGACTTTCTTTGCGTTTTTCTCAAAATCAAATTTTCAAACAAAAAATTGAAGTTTTTCCCACTTTCCTCCTACGCGGTGTGACTCATTGAGCTCAAAATGTTTTATGTATACGTCCATCGAATTGGGGTGTGTTTTTTTCCTTCTCTCACAAATATTGTACCAATGAACTTTGACAAATTTTACAAAATTAGCAGCATTCAGTAAAAAGCATTTTTAATGGTTTTTTGTTAATGCCTTCAGTGTTTTTTTATCCTGAGCATCAGGAACAATATTTCTCAAATAAAAAACAATGACGCACCCAGATTTGATCCTAGTTGCCATAGAAAAAATTTGAGGCCTAAAAGAACGCACTGCTTGCCACAAGTCACGGCGGAACTGCACAGAGTCAACACAGAGAAGTGTCAAAGTAACGAAGTAACGAAGTAACGAAGTAACGAAGTAACGAAGTAACGAAGTAACGAATTCAATAGAAGAATTAGAGAAATTAATGCATTTTAACATATAAATACATTCGTTTTAACCAGTTAAGGAAAGTGCATAACAAGATGTAGAATCAATGTCATGTTTCAGAAAGTACAGTTGTGCGTCAGTAAGCACGATGATGTATCGACCAATATTAGTTTCGGTTACTCTTACACAATAATTTGAATTTTTTTATTTTTATTTGTATATTTATGAATGTTTAAATTAGAGAGTTTTATAAAGCATCAACTTTCTTCTTCAGTGTTTTCAATAAAAAAACAATAAAATGACAAGTGCAAAATTGTCTATACATACTTGTTCTTTTTTCCCTTCTTTTTCTTATAATGTTGCTATGAAAGCAGATGAACTCTAACTCATATCGTCCAGTATTACTATCCTGTTCCTTTCTTCCGTACTTGTATTATAAGAAAAAGATAAAAGAAAAAAAGAAGAAATACATCGACAATTGTGAACTTGCCATTTTGTTGCGTTGTATTTCATTTCAATTGAAAATATTTAAAACGAAATATGATACTCGCAAAATGGCTGTAAACTAAATATTTATAAATATATAAATAAAAATTTTAAAAAATTATTGTGAAATAGTAATTGAAATTGAACAAATCACAGTGGTTATTCAATGAGACCAAAAAAATATCGAAAACAATATTTGTTTAGAGTTATTGTAGTTATAGAAATGTTCGTTTGCTTTTGCGGAGTTTTCGTTTAATATAAGTAGAAAAGTTAATTTATCTAGAAACACGTAAGTATAGTCGAATCGTAAGTTAGATGGCTCGTAATTATAGGACTCTTGGGTCAAATCTATCATAGAGCACAAAACAAAACTAGTTAAAGTGCATTCCCAACAGTCCACAATGCAAAACTAACGCGTCACGATGAAATCTTTCTTCTGCTTCCGTTCTACTGATGTGAAAACTGAAAATATTGTGACTGTTAAAATGCCCAAAATTTGGACTTTTTTGACTGTGTAAAATGCGTTCAAAGTCAGAGCGCGAAATGATTGTTATAAAGCGTCAAATTGAGTTTTTTGACTGCTTTGGTGACGAAGTAACGAAGTAACGAAAATGTGATCGAGAATTTAATGCTACCTTGGCGGTACTCATTGTGGTTGCGCCGCGATTTGTGGCAAGCAGTGACAAAATAAGGCCATTTTTTTGGCTCTTGTACTCTCAAGATCTTCGAGAAGGAACCATTTGGGGTTTTCGAGTGTATGACCATGTTTCGCTCTACCTATCGAGATGTATCTACCTTGGAAGTTTCAAAAAAATTGGTTGAATCGTTCTCTAAAAATCTTGAGTAGGGGGGGGGGGGGGGGGAACGGTCTCATTAAAGTTTAATAGAGATAAAGACTCTCAAATATTAAATGTTGACGTGGATTTGCTTTGAGTAATTTCTACTGTTATTGCTGATCTTCCACATTCACCGGAGTTTCACTAGAATATACGATATCAACCATATACCTTTTTCAAGATTTACATTGACTACTTCGTTTAAAAATGAACTTTTCATTTTTTTCTCTCCATAGTCCCTCTCTCCCTCTCTCTCATTATCTCTTATTTTATAATTTTTCTGTCTCTATTTCAGACTACCCATTACGTTCGCCGTCCAGCACCAACATTCATCCGAATGCTCGATGGCAACAGAATGGTATCACTGTGGCTGGAGGAAATCGACAAGGCAATGGAATCAATCAACTCTCAAAACCATTGGGTTTGTATGTTGATGATGATCAAACTATCTATGTCGCTGATNTTGTTCGGCTAATGTTGCTATTTCCCATAGAAGAACACCAAATGACCTGACGAAAAAAAAAATCTATCATTCAAAAAACGAAAAATATGAATTTTGAATTTATACCAAACATCAGATATTGTATCAAAACGTCCATCTCTTAAACTTTCTGGTGCCATCCATCGAATAGGAAGAAAACTTCGACCACCACGTCGATAATAATCAGTTTCATATATATCACGTGTTAAACCAAAATCTATATAAATAAATATTTCATAAGTTTAAATTGTTCAATTCAAATGAACTAAAGTATTGTTGAAAATTGCTTTTCATATGAATTATTCTATGTAAATAAGTTCTTTTGAGTTTTCAAAAAAAAAATGCTTTTTGCACACCTCAACTCTAAGGACTATTTTCAGAGATCAGTTCTTCATATCGGAATTATTATCGAATTGTGACACTTGTAAGGGGGGAAATTACAGAATGGACTCCAAAAACCTTTCCTTTTAAAAGCCAGTTTTCTAAAAATCCTATCAAAACCGAAAAAAAAAGAGTTTTGTCTTACTATCATCTAAAAATTTTCAAAAAAAAGATTTGTAAAACATGTAAAAAATAATAATATTGATTAAGTGAGTGAAAGGTTAATGAACACTTTTTTTTTCATTTCCTTATTGAATAATTAATGCAATATTAATCAAAAACTTAATCCTTTAGCAAATGAAATCATCTCACACCACAGATGCTCGTCATATTGTCCTAGAATAGCATAAGGTTGTTCAGAATTTTATTTTCTACAAGAGACTGAATAACTGATAGAACATTTTTCGATGTCTTAAACATGTTCAATTTCATTTTCATTTATTCATATAGAATTTATTGAATCATTTCTAATTTTACCTCCAACTTTACACGTATGATTTCCATTAACAAGACAATTTCTTGCAGCTAAATCTCTATGGACAAATTTTTGATCTGATAAATAATACATTCCATCAGCAACATCTAATGCTAATTGAATCATTGCCGATTCAGGTAATGTTGGACCATTTGGCTAAAATAAAACAAAAATTTATTAATTTATAAAAATCTAAAAATTAATAAATATATTTCATACATTAAGTTCACTTTGCCGATGTCGATAAAGATAATTTTTTAAATCACCATTTACCATTAATTCCATAACAACATAAGGTGGTCGAATACGTGAACATATTCCATATAATTGAATTACATGATAACATCGAAATTGTCTATACAAAATAAAAAGAAACTTAGAAGAATTTCATTTTTTTGTATATGGTCTAAACAAACTTCATTATTGATGCTTCTTGTAATAAATCAGTTGGATNTTCTCCAACAACATTACCTCTACTAAGATCTTACTGTTGCCGTCTTCAAACTTTTCGACATTAATCAGGCATACCCAGTCAAGTTTTATTAAGAAAAAAACAAAACAACATCGCTATTTTCGGATTATAGTCTTGTCTTGATCGAAAAAAAATAGAATTGAAATTATATATGGTTCTAATTCTAGTGATATACTTTTTATATTATTTTTTTCTCAAAAAAGAAAAACTTACTAGGTAAATCAATAGTTGTAAAAAAAACTTGATAATATAAATTAGTTGCATTCACCAAAAATGAATCATCAGTTAATTGTTTATAACCACCATATTCATTTTCAAGTCTAGCTATAGTATATGTAGTTATTCTTAAACGATAATAAGTTCGTGGTAATAAAGATATATTTATTGAACGTATATTATGTCCAACACAACGTTCATCTTTTGGTCCATTATGAATATATTGATCAATAATAATTGTATAAAAATAAACAATACCATTTGGTGTTAATGGTTCAAGCCATGATATATGATAATCAACAGTTTTCATATCTGCTGTTAATTGTATAGACTTATCAATAGGTCCAATTAATTTAACATTACGTACTATATCAAGTGATGCTAAAAAAACAAAAACTATATTAAAACTAAAACATAATTAATATACATACGTTCACCAGCTTTTGTTCGAACACTTATAATTATACCATTAGAACTACAAGCAGTTGATTTTGTTTGTTTATTAATATCATGACATGCATATACTTGAAACATATACATTTGTGCATGTTTTAAATCATCAATTATAATATGTGTTTTAAATGATGTACGATTATATGTATTTATATATGGCATATGTTCAACAGGATTTTGTTCAATTGACATATCAGTTTTATATTGTTCATTTAAAGAACTACTTTTATCTTCAAAATAATGATCTAAATCAATAATAATTGTTTCTTTTAAATCAGGACGTATAACTAATGGATCTTTACGTTGTGTTACTGAATTAATAAGTTGATGTTCAAGTATAGCTAAATCAGTAACAACTTGATCATTATCAGTATTTTCTTCAAATTCTTCAATAATATCATTATTAACATTATTATTATCATTAAATTTTAATTTTTGTTTTGAACATCGATAAGAATTAGTATGATTTGATGGCGTATTTGGAACAGTTACTTCAGAACGGCCACGATCTAAATAATAGCAAAATAAATAAATAAATTTTTGCTTTTTTTTATTTTTCTCTTTAATTTACCTTTCATTAAACAAAGTAATTTTGGATTATCTATTGGTAATCGATCTTCAACAGGTGCATAATAAATAAGATATAAAGCAATATCACCATTAGGTTTTGATGGTGGTTGCCACATTAATTCAATACTTGAACGAGATAAACTTTCACCACGTAAATTAAGTATAGGTTCAGGTTGACGTGGTAATGTACGAAAATAACCAATTGTAGAATATAAACCAACAGTATTTACATTTGAAGTTATTGATGCATATACAGCATACCATGTAGCACCAAGAAGTGATACTAAATCAACATTCATTGTAAATGAACTACCTAAAACCAAAAAGAAAAATTCATTCCGTATCTTTATATTCATTATCAAATGTTTGGCTAAGTCACTTTTATATTGTCTGATAGGAAGAAAAAAGTAGTGCTGTATTTATTGAAATTATTTATAGTATATTAATTACCGATTATCATGACTGAGTAAATACTGAATTTTAATGATATTGACGCTCGAATTCCTATTTACAAGTTCTTACAGATTTTCGGATCGAAACCAGTTCGTATTTCTTTACTTGAAATACATTGTTCTACATGTATTCACAAAGTACTATGTGCAAATCTCAGTACCACCAACCATGAAATATTCTCTGGATGAATTATAAACAACTTTTTGATTCGGATCATTCATTCAATAGCATCCTGACTACGTTTTCACACACGTCTACTCTTGTGGTTAGTTTGGGTGTGTGTGTGTGTGTATGAGGAGTTCAAGCAATCGGGTGTAAAGCTGACCTTCTATCCACAGCAACAACTAATCATAATTGTAGAGAAGATATCGAGCGTCGGTAGATAGCTCAATGGTAAAGATGTTCTTGTTCTTCTGACATTGATTAATCTAAAAATGCTGAAATATTGTCACAGAGAATCATTTAAAATCAATCAATTTATTATGTTTGTGTCAGAATGATTCGGAAAGAAAAAGAATTTTGCTCATTTTTTTTAAAATAAAACACTAATTTATAAGTAAAATCATTCAATATTTGATTTAATATGATGTAGAAAGTCGAAAATCTAACTTCAACTTTTTTCACATAACAGTAAGTACATATTTTTCATATTTTCTTTTTTGTACAAGTCAATACATTTCATTATCAATAGTTTGTATTGATATTCTAAGATTTCTTCGCTTAACACTAGTAAACCATGTAATTTAAGTAAATATGATTCGATGTATAAGTTGATTGGCAAACCAACTGTCGATTTTCTCTTTTTTTCTAGAGACCTCAGGTTTTTCAGAAAAATTCATATTTTCCGCATATAGAGAATTCAACTAGGCTTATTTTTATTAAGTATGAAAAAAGTATATATTAGATTTCTGAAAATTTTAGGCATTCAGGTTTAGTTTTCAGAGATCTACTTTTGTCTAGTTTTATTTTTTTTTTTTGAAAATAAAAATATCAAGAAATATCAGTCTACTGTTTTCGAAAGAAAGAATATTTTTAAGTACTATTGTTAATCAATATATCGACTTACATCTCTAAACATTAAGTGTAAAGTTAAGATCAACGTGACATCATCGATAAAGAACCTATATATATATATGTTTGTACTCATAGGACAATAGGAAAACAATGCAATTAGAAAAAGACAAAATAAATTATCATGTCATTGTCAACTAGTAAAAATAAAACAAAACATTTGACAAGATGAAAGAAAGAAATAATATGATAAATCAAGGACTTCTATGAGTTTGCTAATCTAACAAATTAATATAAACAAAACCTTAAATAGTATAATATCATATGTATGATCATCCATAATAATATATATAATATGATCTATTTTGATGATAGAAACAAACAAAAAAAAAACAAAAAAAAAAGAAAATTTTACCATGTGGTGATGGATTATAATTAATTTTTTCAACAATTCTTAACCATTTATGTGATTGTGTTGCATCAAAATGTGTTTCATTTCTTGTTTGTGTTGTTTTATAATAAACAGATAAAAATGGTCGACGTAAATAATCATTTTTACCATTTGGACGAAAAAATAATTCTTTTGGTACAGTAACAAGAATTTTAGCTGTTAATGAACGTATTCTATCAACAGATAATGTTAATTGATTTGATTCACATGATGCTAAATATCCATTAGCATATTCATTCTTTGTATTTGGTGTTATTTGTAAATCTAAAATAAAAGAAAACATTTTTTCATTTATATAAATAATTTTATTTTCAATTACCTGTTTCTCTTGTATTTGTATAATTAATAAAATCTTCAATACGTTTTAAACAAAGACGAGCATTTCGAACAATATTTAAACTTCCTTGAATAATTGGTGGTGGATGTGATAATGGCCATAATTCTGTTAGAAAATCATTTTCTTCAATTGTCATTGTTGCATTTGTTGTTATACCAATACGTTTAAGTTTAGAAAAAATACTTAATGTTGAAAATATATTTACATTATGTATTGTAAATTCATGATCAATTTGTTCAAGAGATTCAAATGCAGTAAATACTTCTATTAGATTTGTTTCAGTTGATTCAACAGCAGCAATATTATATATATTTAATGTATGAACACGTGAACAATATTTTAATGCACTAAATTCACTTATAGAACGAATATGTTGTTCACCACATGCACCTTGACAATAATTATTTTCTGGTCCTGATATACAACGTTCACAATGTGAACCTAATATAACATCAAAACCTGTTGGACATGTTGATACACATTCATTCGTTTCATCTAATATAAAACCAGAACTCATAAAAAATGATGTACATTCTTGATGTGTTACACATAAAGAATCAATAACCTTGAATAAAAAAAAAAAACATTTCTTAGTTGTCTTTTTTTGTATTGATGAAAAATTGTAAAATCTATTGGGATAGCAAATAAAAGCTTTGCTAAGACATAATGAAAGATCGTCACAGAAAGATTGAAGAAATATGAAGGCATCTAACAAATGCGAATTTTCCTTATTGTTTAGTTTGATTCGAAGTCTAGTAGCGTTACCAGACAAACATTCAGTTGCTCTAACAACACTCGAGTCCCACTTAAACACAGCGGTTGAGCTTCTCTTGCAGTGCTATCAAAGAGTTTTCGCCTTCTGTATAGACAAAGTCGAGGGATCGAATCTCTTCGTACAAGATTCTTTTTGAGTACGCCACAATTAAAGTCATTTGAATTTCATCAATATTAATGGAAATAAATATGTTTATATATATAAATATACAGAAAACTGCATAATTAGAACGAGTGATCAGCTTCTGATGAAGGCTGACTCTTCATATATAGATAAATGTGAGAATTTAAATAAATCCTCATTAACTTCATTATGATATATTTGCTTTAAAAAAGTTTTCAAAATGTATTTGTCATCTTCTCTAGACTTATCTCTAATTAAGAAATACCTTAAGTTTCTTTTTTCTTTGTTTTAATATATTAATATATAAAAATAAAAGGAATCTTTATTTACTTTAAGCATATGTGATGGACATTTTTGTACACATTTTCCTGTTGCATAAATTCTCATATTTCTACATGCATGACAAATTAAATCTGTTGATGCTGTTATATTTTGATAATAACAACCACCCACACATTGATCAGGACAACAAACTGTTTCTGTTAAACAATTTCCTTTACAATGTGCTGAACATTGTTGTTGACATTGTGTTGGTGACCAACATGCTGATGGACATGTTGGACAAAAAGCACAATCATCACGATTTTGTCTTAATATAACTTGTGCTTTTGGATCTTCAATAATATCTTTCCAACGAATAGAATTTGCATAACATAATTGTGCATTTCGTGCTATAATAACATTTCCTCGACGAATATTTATTAATGATGTTAAACCTAATTCATCTAATTGTAAATTTTCCATTACAATTAATGCATAACCATGATATAATTCTCGACCATGAATAATAGATAAACGTGGAAACATTGATGAAAATGAATGAACTAATGAATAACCTAATAACATATATCCATTAACTTCACGAAGATATGGAAAACGAACAGGTACAGATGGTGTTGTAGTTGTATTTGTTGTAAATGGCATTGGAGCATATATTATTGATCCAAGAATTACTTCACATGATGCATATAGATGTATGTCAAGACCACGACGGACTTCAAATATTGTGATATGAACATCACCACATACTATAGAAAAAAATATTCATATTATTTGAACTAAATAAAAACTATCGATTGTTTTAATAGTTTATCTTGTGAACAGGAATCTAATGTCTATTCTTAAGAGTACTGTGATTTAGTGCGAATGATAGAAGTATTCATTGAATTAATTATTATACATTTTCAAATATAATTTACTCTATTGGCTTTTGAATAATTTTTTATAGAAACATGTTAGAGACCTGCGATTTTCATCATTCAACACAGAAAACTCAAAACTATTGAAGTATATCGAAATTTGATTAATCAACACTTGATTAAATGCTTGAGTTCTCAGTATAGAACTAATCGACCGAAAAAGTAGTTAGGCAAAGATAATTTATCATGATGATATTTGTTTTCAGGTTCGAAATAATCTGATTGTCTTATCTCAATATATTTGAAATTCCACAGTCAGCCTTCATGTAACAAAGGAGTTAACATTTCTGAAATATTGAGGTAACAGAGTCAAATATTTTCGAGTCTACGAACAAATATTATTATTCAACTGACGAGGGAAGGTCCTCAGGTGTTACGCTTCGTTTTGAATCGGATATATGTCATTTTGTAGAGCTCAGTGAGACTAGCAAAAGTTTAAAAGGGTTCTTCCCCATGGGCCTTTGGAGTCGAGTTATGGCCTTTCTACTGAATTTTTGACCATTTTTTCGATATTGCGCAGTAAATCAAACAACGGAGTTTTGATCTGAAATTTTGCCCATAGATAGGTCTTATCATCTTTAGAATATTCTGAAAATTTCAGCTGAAAAGAATGTTCCTTTATCGAGATATTGGATATTCAAGTAGGTTGGCTTTTTGCGCCTTGTCTGTATAAGCGATGATTTGTAAAATAATTCAATATCTCGACAAAGAAACATTCTTTTCAGCTGAAATTTTCAGGATATTCTAAAGACGATTAGACCTATCTATGGGCAAAATTTCAGATCAAAACTCCGTTGTTTGATTTACTGCTCAATATCGAAAAAATGGTCAAAAATTCAGTAGAGAGGGCATAACTCGACTCCCAAGGCCCATGGGGAAGAACCCTTTTAAACTTTTGCTAGTCTCACTGAGCTCTACAAAATGGCATATGTCCGATTCAAAACGGAGCGTGGCACCTGGGGACCTTCCCTCGTTAGCTCTGAACAGACTACTTCAAAAGCAGACAATAGATGTTCTGACTTAAGACATTTTGGTCAACAACATTTGAGAATTAGCGTCATAAAATTCGAATATATTGCTCAAGGAAATATTTTTTCTCTTTTTGTTGAGTTTAGACGACCTAACGGGTGAGAAATGAGATCGAGTAAAAAGCCAAATATATTAGAAGATAGAGCAAACGACATCTACAAAACTTGGTCTTATCCCTTTAGAGTTCATCCTCAAAACCTGAACTGATTAATTTACATGTGGTCGGATAGAGTAAAATACGAGCTTCCGAATATATCTAGAGTTCTCTAGTTCAGTCTTAAGTAACGAAGAAGACATTCACGTAATCAAAATGATCATCCATTTGTTTTTGAAACTATTACTCAATGCAACCATTCCGTTTAATACAGCATTCCGAAAAAAATTCATGTCAACCATTTCACACAAATACATCATTCGGCTTATTCCTCCTTATAGATTTTTATTCATTACAAATTGTTTCTTTTTTGAAATACTTGAAATAAGCATTAAAGTGGTGTGGCTTCTTTTTTATACGTTACTCTAAATATGTTAATGATATTTCTTGTGTAAATCAATATAGCAAATGAAGAGCATTGAAATGGTTAAAAATTGGATCGGAGTCTATAATATTTAAATCAGAAATCCATTCGAAATATTCAAGAATCTTGTTGAAAACGCGCATCTAATAGCTACGTTCGAGATTGAATCGATGTAGAATGGGATAGACAATTAAAATGCTATTTACACTGATTATTCGAGCTTCAGATAATAAATAAAATATCGATCAGCACAAAATGTTTCTTTTTAATGAATAAGATTCAAGAATGATTCTTGTAGAATATGACAACCCAATAGAACATTCCATAAGACTTCTTACTGTCAATGAATCTTTGACTTAAAATGTGACCTGAAACAAAAGACAATGTGCATAATGAAGACTGCAAAGAAAATTTATTAAATTGAAAAATATTCGTTAAGAATTTTTAGGATTGATTCACGTTATTTTTTATTCGACTTTGCCATGATAGTCATAGAAAGTACAAGATTTTTATTTTGTAAATTAACTTTCAGTTGACTAAGAATTGTAATTGTCGATGATTTTTCATCGTCAGTATAATAAACACGATAAATAGAATAGTTCTTTGGATTTGCAAGTAAACATTCGATTTCACCAATCGACATTTGAAACGTATTTTGGTTGCATGATCGAGTTGTTTTGACTTCAATCAATTCCGTTTCATTATTTGTTGTTTTGTGCACTAGTCGAATGTCAAACGGTAAACCAGATTCTGTATGTTGATTGACCCATTCGATTTGTTTATCAGGATGTTTCCATTGAAGATATCGAAAGACCAAATCTTCACCACATCGACCTGTTTTAAGATCGTCTTCCAGACTGGTTAAACTTGGATTAGCCGCTGATGGTAATGCATTCGATATTGAAAGATTAAAATCACGTATATTTGAAACACAAATAAATTCAAATATAGCCGAAGGTGCTTGTGTCAAAGAAATATTTCTAATTGTTAAAGTTCGATGGGATGATCGTTCACCTTCAGTTGATCTTTGTTGAACATTTACTAGAATAGACATAATCAAATATGAACTAAATTGAATCGTTTATCTCGTTCATACTTGGAACCGATCGGTTGACATTTTTGACTTCACAGGCGAAAAACTCGTGCGCTTAATATATCAATTAAGCAAGCAGCTCTTTCAAAGAATAGTTTATGACTTTAGTTTTACGAAGACATACAATGTAAAACTTATATAACTAGTAGCAACTCTTATTTTAATGTGTCACATTTTGTTTAGTAACCCGTAACAACTAATCTTGAGCGATATCTATACTTGTTTCTGGAACAATAGGATTTCTTTACAATTGATAAGTTTGATCTAATCTTATTTGAAATAATTATTTAATATAGCTGAAAGGTATCTCAATTCGTAAAAGAACCCTACTATCGATAAAGAGACAGTACGGCTAATAGAGTCCAAGAAAGTGCGGTCGAAACGTAGAGGTGACAAATCCTTAGTTTAGACCGAAATGAATTCCTAATACTTGGCTAACTTTTCGTAAGCATAATAAATTCATTCTACATGATCTGAGGCTCTCATCCTAGAATGAAAAAGTGTTAGCATCTCTTGATCATTAAAAACTAACAAAATAGGCTAGCTTTAGTCCCCGAAAAAAAAATCAATAAAGAAAATACGACATACTGGTCGGTACGGTTACAAGTATGATCTTCTTTAAAAATTCTTACCATTACTATTTATGTTATTATTGTGTAATACTACTTGCTCATCAGGTTTTTTCTTTTGTTCAAATTGACCATCATTATTTATTGTGAGACGCTGTTGGACATGCTTATTTTTCTTTTCATCTTGGTCGTTTTCAGATGCAGATGATGTGAAAATTTTTTCTTTTGTAACATTGACTGGTTGTGATTTTCTTTCTTGTGAGACTGTATTCAATGGTAAATTCAATCCAAGTATTCCTAGCTTGGCTGGAAAACTGACAAGTGGTTTTGGTCCTTCCACATCTACTTTATTAGGTTGAAGTTTTAATGGAAAACAATCCGATTCTTTTTTCATGTTTTCAATTGCTTCATCTGAAATATTGACAGATGAATTATGGATACTTATCCGTTGTTCATCATCTTCTTCTTCTTGTTCTAGTAACAATGGCTCAGGCTCTTTGGCAATGGATGGTATGATCCATTTGAAAGTGTCTGCCTGTGAAGGCAAAGTTTGTCGTAAACTTGTCAAACCTTCTTCTCCTTTTTGTTGATATGTCTTAAAGAGATTTTTAATGAATTCTCCGAGTTTGTGCCGCATGGATTCATTCTCAATTAAATAATTTACCATTGTATTAATATGTTTTTCAGGTTTTTCAATTGTTTTTAAAATAAAAAATTTCGCAATTGATTCATCAATATAGGTCGAATGTGTTTTCAATGATGTCGATGTCCGTTTTATATTGTTATTATACGAATATGAGAAACGAATTCGATCAACATAAAGAATTTTCATTCGAGCGAAGATCGATTGAAAATAATTCGATCGTGTTTCAGATAGGCCATTATGTTTGATTAAAAATGATTGAATAAGATCAATTGTATGTCTATAAAAATTGGTTAATTCCAGCGATGGATGTTCATTATCACCATCGGCAAAAATCTTGATGACATCAGCAAGATTTGGTATTTTGAACATTGAACAAAACATACTTTTTAAATGCGCAGTACAGATACGATCTAGGAGTTGAATGTATATATAAGTGAAAAGTCTGCAAATGTGGTTCACAACTATCGATTTTTGTGCCTTTACGCAGAAATAGATCTATATTTCGTGTGATATCTAAAACCTAAGTTAGACGTTCGGGAAGCAAGCGGAGGAAGGAGGGTGATAGTTTTACTGCTCTCGCTATAGCTCATTATATTTTGAAATGGATAGTAAATTCTTGTATATATGAGTCAAAGTTGATAGGTTTTAATGAAAATTATGAAATTGTTCTATACAAATAAATACTCGACAATGTTCTCTAACTCTAGAGGAGAAAACGTTACTTATTGTGTTCGAAGATGATCAAAGTATTGAAAACACCTCTTTTACATCGCTATTTTAGAGATATCTCATGGAACTTTACTCCTACCTGATGGATTGACAATCAACAATGTATCTGTAAATAGACGAGCAATATCCATGTCGTGTGGATAGAAGAGTGGATCATCGTATTTGTAGAATTTATTTTCTGTACCCAAGCATGGAATAAAAGTCCAATTGGCACATTTATCTAAATAAATGTACACGATTGTTATAAGAAATCGTTTATTATCGAATTATTTTTTCTCCAAGTACCTAGAACTAATTTTTGACTATTTTGGGCAAATGCAAGACGTGTTATGACATCAATACATCGCCAAATATAATCTTTTGTTTTATTGGTTACATTTGATAATAATGGCAGATAATCTTCAAGTGTTGGTTGTTGTTTAACTTGAAGTAAATCGATAAAGAACGATGATAACGTTGGATTTTGTCCATAATAAGGTCGAATTAAAGTATATTGTATAGTCGAATTTCGACTAGTCGTCGTTGTATTTGTTGTATCTAAGAGTGAATGAGGATCATTCCATATGACCTCATCAACATATAGAAAATCGCCCATGTCTGCAGTTCGAGGTATGAATACGAGTGGCCATAGACGAAAACGAGCAAGAAGTAAACGAGTTTGATCATCAGCAATTATTATTTGATAGACTTGACAAATATTTTCAATTTTATCTAAACATGATTGACGCATTGTTCTCGGCATAACACATGGTATTCTAAAAGAATTTATTCAAGAAAATGTTCAATGACATGTGAAATAGTTTCTTTTTCTTTTTTTTGAAAAAAAAGACCTGTTGAAATGGTATGCCTGATTAATGTCGAAAAAAAAAATGTCGAAAAGTAAAAATGTCGAAAGGAAAAATGTCGAAAAGCAAAAATGTGGAAAGGAAAAATGTTGAAAAGTTTGAAGACTGCAAGAGTAAGATCTTAGTAGTGTTAATGTTGTAGGGGAAAGGAAAAATGGGCGAAACTAGTTTTTTAATCATTTTACAAAAACAATAATTTAACAAAAAATATCTAATAATCAATCATTTTTTATTATTTTTTTTTGTTTTATCCTTAGCAACAACAAACGATAAACCCTCTAAATATTCTCCTAAATTGATTTCATCATTTGAATAATGATCAGCAAGAGTAGTAATACGACGTTGTACACAATTTGTTCTTTTTGTTTTTGGTCTGCCAGTTGCACCAGCTCGCATTTGTATTACTTGATGACGAAAATATACCTCTTCTTGTTTCAAACAATTGATAAAGNCTATTATAGCTTCGATTTATGTTGAACAAGAACAGCGTAAAAAGAAAAAAGGAGAAATATACTTGATAAAGTTTTGAAAATGTTGGTCGAGATTTGAGAAACCATTTTAAAATAGAAAATATTCCATAAACAGCAAATTTTCCTGCATCTAATTTATGTGGTAAACGTTCAATTGATTCACATAAATTTCCTGCAACTTCACGCATATGTACTAATGGTAATTCAATTAATTTTGTAAATACAAATGATTGTAATTCTTGTGGAAAAACATAATTTAATAAATCTCGATCACGTTGTAAAAGTGCAATAAATGCATCGAGTAATAATTTATAATTATTTGTATCATGATCATCACTTGTTTCAATAATAACTGTATCATCCATGGCTGTTGTTGATGATGATAATGGAGAATTCATACCACGTGGTAATGTACTTGTAGCTGGTGAACGTATTAAACGACGACTCATTTCACTAAAGTAAAAGAAAAAAATTTTCTCAATGACAAATATTTAAAAAAAAAACATTTGAAAACATCTTTTTCTTTTTACTGATTTTGATGAAATTCTAACCAGCGACGAATTTAGAGGAAAAACAAAAGAAATATGAAGAAATGAGTTCATACGATCTCTATTGAATTTCAAAACAGATTTTGTGTGTAACTTATGGTGATAGGATAATTCATCGTATGACATATGCAAAAAGAAGCTCGTTCACACTGTCACAAGGAATTGTCTGAACACTCAAATTTATAAAACTTCAGATTTGTTTCATATTAACGAACAGATAAAATCTTTGTATGTAGAGCCCGACGCGTCTAAAGTTTTCGAACTTATTTTAAAAATTCCAGACTCAAACCTGACCGGCTCTATCAAATAAATTTAAATTTTTTTATTACAAGGTCAAACTCAATTTTTGAAGTGTTATGTTTGCATTGAAACTTTTAAATGACGTTTTAATACAATCAATCACATTAATTTTTTTTGTTATTTTGTTGATGATACAAGTCTGCCTTTTTAAACTTTTTTATTCAGATAAATAACATGAATAAATAAGTAATTACTTTCAACTCATCCTTCCACATTATTTCTATCAATGCATAGTTAGTGTACGTACGACTGTGGGCGTATAGAGAGTTTATCAATCTATCCACATCCTTCAATGCTTGGATGTCATCTTACTGATATGAAGCATGATATCAAGTATGGATAATGTGTGAAAATAAAGCATACATACTATTATGTAATCTTCATTTTTTTTTTTCATTTTATGTTTTTGTATGCTATTGCTTATGTTTATTTCAATAAAATAAATGTCAAATGACCGCTCCATTAGGAAAAAAAATCTTCAGAAATTTATTTATCTGTAGTTAAATAACAAAAAAAAAATATACATGAAGCGACCCAAATGCCATTATCAGTTCCCATTAAAGATAATCACAAGAAAATAATATTTAGATAAATTTTATTCATAGGATATAATACTCATGTACAAAGAACTAAGTTTTTAAACTAGTTAATTTAAATTCTCAAGCAAGAAATAATCAATCAGATAAAAATTTTTTATCAAACAATACTTAAAAGATTTCGTTTTGCATTTTAATTATTAAACAAGAATTTGAATCTTTTAGCTGATTATAATACTTTGGCGTCAAAAATCAACATGAAAATTTTATTTTATTATTTTAGTTTTGGTATTTTTTATGCGTAATAGAAGATAAGTCATTTTATGTATGCATGGTTCTTGTCTTATCTTGATTTTCTGTCATCACTGTTACATGTTTTTTTTACATAAGTAGACAGAAACAGAGCAGATAATGACATGAATATACAAGGAAAAAAATATGAAATTACTTCAAGAAAATTACTCAATACGAACAAACTGCCAACCTGAATTTAACGCCAAACTAGTAAGATTCTAAATGCTTAATTAATTTATATACATCGCTAGTCTATATGATTCGAGCCGGACAAAAACCGACGATAGTTTCATACTTAATCGATTGTCTATTCTCTGATCGACAATCTACTGTCGGCATATCATCGATTCTTAAGAATATCATGATAGTGCGGACAAGCGCGCGACATAGAATTATACTTGAATGTACTTAGTATTTGTTTATACTATGCATATAAAAACAAGAGTCTTTAAATAGATCTTTATCATCAACCAAAAAACAATTAGCTTGTTTGATTGCACCCATTATGGTATATGCCAATTTTTTATCACATCGTTATTTATGATGCATCCTACATGCAGTCCTTGATGAATAAAAAGGCAAACTACATTCTTATCTTTTACCGTTAACTTTCGACATGATTGAAATATTTTGTTTTTCAAAACAGTAGAACATCATCGATCTCAAGTTCCAAATAATTATCTTTCGTTTTCTTCTACTGACGAGACTATGAAAGTCAAATCATTCTGGACTTTTCTATTACTCAATAGTATTTATCAATTGAACGTGATCTCAGTCGAAAAACGATTTGACAGTTGAAGAGATTCCTTCGTAAGATACATTTTGTTTGATAGTATACAAAAAAGATTTGTTAACTTTAAAAAAAAAGAAAAGATAAGATAGATTAACAAAGTTCGTCAAGAAATATCTTTTATATAAGATTAAACGTACACAGATTAGTTTAAGTTCGATAATTTTTTAGACCCGATAGATTCTATTTTCTCTAATGCAGACAATCAATTCTAATTACAGCTTCTCAACTAACCCAACCCCGAAACAAATAACCCAATTATGTGCCTATATATATAATATAAGTGTAAGCGAGAAGAAGAAGAAGCCATGATTATCATATCACTTACGGTGTTAAAAACCGTCTAATATACCACCGATGAATAATTGTATAAGAAAAACAAAATCGAATATAAATCATTATTTATTTACCCTAATCTTCTTCCTTGTTTTCTTAATGTATCTGAACTCGATTGTCCATGTTGAGACATAGTTGGACTTGAGGTCACTAACATTGTTGATGCACGACGAATTGAAGTTTTTCTTACATGTTCATCGAGACTATTCAACAACAAACAAACAAAACAATTTAATCTATGATATTTTTTCATACATAAAAAAAATCTTACAGTTGAAGTGAACGTCGAATCATTGTACCTCTTTTAATTGCATAAGAATCAATAAGACCTTGTCGAAAACCATGTAAACTAAACCATTCAATTATTGCTCGTAATGTAGCCATATCAGCTTCTAGAAAGCAAAAAGAAAATTCATTATAATGTGAAAAATTAAAATATTATTATTAATTAACCTTGCATTGAATGAATATCATTTTTATTTGTTGTACCTATTGTTTCACATAATTCAATAACTTCTTTTGGTGATAATGGATTAGCATATCGTAAAATAAGTTTATCAGTTTCTTCCACAAGTCGTTTTCTTCCAAGATCATATAATTGTGTAACACGTTCACGTTCTGCAACAGCTGTAACACGTTTAAAATATTTAACAGCATCTTCAAGACGATCTAATTCAGCTAAATAATCTGTTAAATTTCCTCCAGGACCAGATGATACAGTTGGTTTTAATTCACCACATATATCATAATAATGTAAAACAGAATCAACTAATAATAAACTTTTATCAACATTATTTAATAATAAACTTAATTCATTTGTTGCTTCATAAACAGGTGTAACAAGTTCATCTAATGATTTTAATTTACGTTCAAAATTATCTAATGTTGCAACCATACCATTTGTTAAAGTATTTGAACGAGATAATGATTCTTGTAATAATGCTAAACGACGTTTCTCCTATTGAGAAAAAAAAACAAATTAATCTCTTATAATAAATAGTTATTTACATTTATACATAAACATATTTGTCAAGTCTAAGTTAGAACTTTCATAAATAGTGAAACTTAAGTACAACATGTTGAATAACATTCAATAATTAATTATCATTGAATTTTTATTGAGCCTTAGTTATGAGATTTTTCTGAGATTTATTTTGTTGATAACTCGATATAATGTTCATTATGCTAGCAGTAGTTTAAACAAACGTACAATATGAATAGGGTATAAAATTATACGAACAACGTATTTTTTTATAGTCAGTGAAATTCTCTATCAAATTCATTTCATACTAAAATTTCATGGATGAACTATGAAAGTATGATTTCTAAAAACCAAAGAACGTAAATGATGAATTTCATTGTCCATTCAAACCACTATTCAGATTTGAGTTCGATACTTGATATTTATCAAAAATATATTGTTCTTATAATTTTGGCTATCACTGTAATTTTTATCTACATATCTTTGCCATAGACATTGAACATTATCTATATAAAATTCAAACTTTCATCGTTAGTATTGTTTCGATATGTCCTCTGACACTAGTGAACACGGCTGATTTTCGATCACTTTAGTTTGTGAAAAAAGTCCTGATAGATACAGGAAAAACATTCAGAATTGCTCCACTGTTTCTCTGTCATACTGCTTTCGATCGAACTGAAACTTTATATTTTTTTTTACATGTATTAAATACTGTTTCAGGTGCCTACTTTTTTTTTTATAAAAAATAGTACACTGTTGATTTTCCACAGATTTTTACAAAAAAGATATCATGTATTTCTGAATGTACACTAAGAACTTTCACTTTTATCTATTTTTGTTTTGAATAACTTTTCATAGAAACATTAATAGAGACCTACGGTATTCACCATTCAGAAGGATAGATCTGAAAATCATCGAATGATATCAAACTTGAATTCATCCGCTATTGACCAATCAAGTGAATTCTTCGTGAAGATTTTCAAAAACAATAGTCTAAAGCAATTTCTCTTTCGATCTGCACAAGGGCGACAGTCCTATCTTCTTCCATTGAAGAGTTACACATCATTTTCTGAGACTATCGCTTTCAGTCCATTGAGCTGTAATCATCCGGAAAAGCTGCTAGACAATGGGTAATTTACCATGCAGAGTCGAATGATGATATTTACTTTTACGTTCAAAATTATCTGACTGTATTATCTTAATACTTCTGTCATTTCCATAATCATCCTTCATGTAACGAAAGAATTGACATTTCCACAAATATTAAGATAATACAATCAAGGTCACAAATCAATCGACTGAAACCGTAGGTCTTAGCGAAAGTTTTATAGTGCTTCAATGGAACAAACTAGAAATATCGATTCTGTGTAGATTTAAAACGAAGAACTTTTTCTATCGTTTAGTTCTATTAAAAATGTGAATCAAAACAAAAAATTGATTCAGAAAATTTTTATCAAGAGTTCATATGATTGGTCAATAGTTGATAAATCATACTTTGATGTTCTCAAGTCTTTTCTCTGTAGTAGTGAAAACCGCAGATCTCTATAATGTTCCTGTCAAAAATTATTCAAAGAAGTTTCAACTCTACCAAACTTATTCAATGCTTAAAAATGCCGAGGCGATTTTTAGCTTTTACGATTCAGATATTTTCTAGAAGAAAATATTTGAGAATTTAAAGTCTATCGTAATCCTTTTTTCTCTACTTATCAAGATCTTAATTCTCACCTCTTGTAATTTCATTTCCGACGTACGCATACTTGTCATTGATTCACCACCACCTGTCATATTTTTTTAAACATAAAAATCTGAAAAATATTCATTTTTCAAATAAACAAATTCATATGTATATATATATATATATATATAATATATATTAATAATGGAAATATGTTATACAAAAAAAGAAAAAAAAAACACAAACAAGATGATTTGTCATGCAGAAAAACAAAACAAAACTACAGATGTTCTTTATTTTAAATCAGAATACATCCTTTCTTTTTCGCTTTCGGTCTTGGACATAAATGAGCACGTATGGCTTCATCAAACACTGTTTTTAAACCTTTTTGTGTCAATGCAGAACATTCAAGATATTTGAGAGCACCTATTTCTTTGCGCATTGATTCACCTTGAAGTGTAGAAATTGGTGATAATTTTTTCTCCTTGATGCAAACGAAAAAAAAAAACAAAATGAAACACATAGTAAAAGAAAAAGGAAGCACAACAACAACAACAAAAAAAAAAAATATTTACTCGAAGTTTGTCAATGATGTTTTTATCATCTCGTAAATCAAGTTTTGTACCAACAAGAATAATTGGTGTGTCAGGGCAATGATGACTTACTTCAGGATACCACTAAAGAAATTCAATTTGATAAAAAAAAGTAAAAATAACATGAAAGTTATTACTTTAGCTCGAACATTTTCAAACGAAGCTGGACTAACAAGTGAAAAACAAATAATAAAAACATCCTAGAAAATTCAAACAAAAAATATGTCTTTCTTAAAAAAACAAACAAAAATATTGTACCGTTTGCGGATAAGATAATGGACGAAGACGATCATAATCTAAATATATAATATATTACAAAAAAAAAATCATATTAATAATATATAAGTATACCTTCTTGACCAGCCTATATAATTACAAGATTAAGAAAATTTTACTTTAGCAATGAAAAAAAAAAAAAACCTTAAATTTTATTTTCATCTTACTGTATCCCACAAGCCGAGATTAATTGGTTTTCCATCAACCATAACATTAGCTGAATAATTATCAAACACAGTCGGAATATATTCACCAGGAAATGTATTCGTTGTATAAGATATTAATAAACATGTTTTACCTACGGCGCTAAAATAAACAATAAAAATTTATTCAAGAAAACAAAACTTCATCGTTTACCCATCGCCGACTACAACACATTTAAGTGCTTGCATTTTAACTTCGTTTTTCTTTTCTTTTTTTTTTTTTATTTAAATGAAAATTCTATGTATGATTAAATAATCTAATGGAGACTAGTATTAACATAGCATCTACAAAGAAAAATGATACATTTCCGGATAGATAGGGGAAAAAAATAATAATGGTAGAGCCACGCAAACAAAGAAAGAAAAGAGAAGAGAATAGTGCGAATGAATCATCGTATTAATCATGCAAGACATTGCTCATTCAATCAATCAACCCACTATTTTGATATTGCTCCAATCAAACAGAACATCATGGGATAGATAGACAGAGGTCGCATTTTAGGCAAAATCCTTAAATTTTAAGATAGAAGTCTCCTTGTAAAGCAAATAGACATAAAAGATAGCTAAGAGAAATCAAACTCCTTTTAGATCATTATGAATTTTGTATAGATACATTATTATTTAAAATATTCAATATAGAATATTTTAGAAGAAAAGAAAAGTAAATCACAGATTATGTAGAAGGAAATCACTTCTTTTTTTCTATCAATGAAGATAAAATTAGAACAAAAAAATTTCTTCTTTAAATATCACATAATTCATTGTCAAGTATCGTTTGATTTTATATTTTTATCTTTAAATGCATTTTTATTGAAGACCTCAACGTAAACATTAATTATTCATTTGATTTCTTCTTCCTATATTTGAATGACTTAAAATTTAGAGCCTTAGAAAAAAAAGTTTTGTAAAGGTAATTATCAACAACTGTTCATTAAAAGTCTCACAACATTTTTTATTTCTAAATTGTTTATAGAAACCTACATAACATTCATGTTATATGATTATTTGCTCGCTCGTATAGCAGAGGTCAAGTCTTATATATATAAATATGTGTGTTTAATATAAGAAATGCGTCAATATAATATATAAATAGAAATCTTAGTACTAACAAGAAAAAAAAAACATGACATAAGAGAAAGGCAACTTGACATCGTTGTAACAAGTTTTATCATACTGACTAAGAGTCGATGAACTATCAAAGCTAGTATTTAAAAATATAGTTTAGAAGGTAATGTTAGCATGTCATTTTCTTGTAGCTTCTTATTTGCGTCGTTCACACCTGCAAAAATATAAGACCTAGAGATTTTAATAAATTACATTTAGTGTAACTAATTGTTACCTTATGAATTTAGTATTAAATAAAATAGAAAAATTAAAATATACCTAAAAACTAAAGAAGCATTTCATTATGTAAAATGTGAGGAATTTGTTGAAGTAATATATATGTTTACACAAGCAACAGAATATACCAGTATATAATACAAAGAGAAAGATATAAGACACTATTCATTAATGACTGAAAAAGACTTAGTCATGATAATGAATAAACGTATTTATATATAATACCGTACTTCTACTATACAGGCATATAATCATCGGAGATATTCTATCTGACAGAAAATGACTGAGAAAACTTTTCTTGTAAAATTTGGCAAATGGTTTTCTTGTAATAGTTTGAAAACTTCGTAGACGCGACATAAAAAGTGAGAATGAGTAGCCTATCCTATTCCCTGCCACATCGAGATATATGATAATCATATTAAATGAATGTTGTGTAGTTCTACTAAAACGAATTAAAAATTAAAAGTAGTACGAGACTTTTAACATCAATTTTGGTATTAAGATTTCAACAAGAACTTATATTTTATACAATTAGTCGTATTTTAAGAACAATGCTAGTTGTAATTTTCATACCATTTCTATAGAAATTAATTGTGATGAAAAACGATCTTGTGTTACAGTAAAACTTTATTTTTCAAGTCGTATATGTTGTCAACGAATCTTTACATGTGCTCAGTTAAAAATGGGCAAGATGATTCTGAGACCAGAACTATCACTTTCTCATTGGGATTGATATTTTTTATGATCGTGTAAGATTTGCGTCAAATATGATATTCTCACGACTCATATGTTCTAAAATTTTATGCGGAAATTATTCAGTAACAATCATTTCCGTATTTTCTGTTACCATTTTGATAGTAAAATGAATCTTAAAGAGAAAGGGACATTAAGTCATGCAAGGTGTCTCCAGCGCATCGACACTACTAGAAACTGATATAACATTTTTCGCTAGTACATGTACTACTAAGTGCAAAACCAGAAGCAACAAGTTTTTTTTCTGACCGAAACCAACAACGATTGGCTTCGCTCATCATTATTCATAAGTTCTAAAACATGAAAAACATTTTTGAATTGACAATCACAAATAAAATCATACTACAACAAAGTCTAACTAACAAACTATCAGACATAGCAAATACTTCTTTCAACAGGAAAATTGACTATTTCGCCTGGCATGAAAGTAGAGAATATTATGTTTTGAGCTCGATTCAACTGAGAAAAAATAATGAATTAATAGCATTGTAAATCAGTTTGATTCAATACCATATTATGATGCTTGTATTTCAACAGTATATGTAGATTCAAACTAATAAAATATTGAGTTCTTTTCAAACTGATTTTCATTATTATCGATTTATTATTATTTTTTAGTTAGACCGGACTCAGAAGAGTTTTTATTCTTACAAGTATATGGTCCTTCTGATGTTACATTTTTTAATCATCGCGAGTGTAGTATATTTTGGATTTGAATAGAACTGTTATTTAAACCTATTTTGAATAAAGTTTTATTTCTTGACAGTAGAGCCCGTCGGGTACAACATTTTTGGACGCGAACTCATACCCGGGTCCGCTTTGTCGAACTTTTCTTGGACCGTAACCGGTCTTTAAAAAAAATTTCAGAACCGGACCCAGAAAATAGAAGAATTTTGAACCTGAACCTTATCCGGACCTGATCTCGTCTGTGTCTGAGACTAAAGCAACGTGTTCTATTGAACACAAACAATTTATTTTCAACACTAACAACCAAAAGCAACTAGCTCTTCAGAGAAAACTGAAGATCAGCAAAACTTCGAAAAATATTCTCCTATGCATCAAAAATTGCTTTAGATCCGGACTCGACCGGGTACGAGTCCGGGGGCGGGTCGGACCCGACGGGCTCTACTTGACAGGTGTAGTTTAATGACTAAGTAGCTATCAATGTTTTTGATTTTTCTGCGAAAGGAGAAATTTATTTGACGAACAAAGTCGATAGTTTTGTACAGTGAAAAATTCTCTCTCGAATAACTTTAGAATGATGTGTTGCAATTGTGTTACAAAAGAAAATAAAAATCTCGCATTCTTTATGAGCTACCTGTTATTTTTATCTTTGTTAGATAAACATACACTCGTGATGAAGCTAAAAATTTTCAGACTATTTTTTGAATAGTCATATGGATTTCTATATTAACAGAAAAATATCTTTATTATCTAAGGAATCAGTATAAATACTAACATATCTATGTTTTCTTTTATTATGTTATGCAATAACCTTGTAATATTATTGAAAGTGACAAGTAGAAGATCAAAATGATTCATGAACTATTCATGTAACAAGTATTGAACTAGAGGAGAGTACAAAAGTATCCTGCAGATGTCACAATCTTATTGAATATATATGATCCGTTACATGTTTTTATCCAATGAATAGAGTTCTTTTGAAACTAGTAATCAAGTTTAGTTTTTCTTAAAATGTCAATTTAACGTCGAATTGTTTGTTACTTTCATCAGGAACAATTACTATGACAAGAAAAACACCGTCCAGTTCTTCTCATTTACAGAACATATTGTTTATTCAACGTTTAGGCTCGGCACTTTTTTATGGTATTTGTTCGGGTTTGATTACTGTTGTTAATAAAGTTGTTCTTACTTCATACGGGTAATGTTCTTTATTAATTGAAGATTTTATGAATAGTTTTGTTCTGTATTATACAATAGGTTTCCTTCATTTCAACTACTTGCCATTGGACAAGTATGTACTAATAATAATTAAGAATCATCAGTAATGTTATATATACATATTGAGTTTATTATTCTGTCATAATTATGATTGTGTTTATTATTATTTAGTTAACGGTCTCTGTTATTGTACTGTATGTAGCTCGTTTATTGAATATTGTTGATTTTCCTCAATTTTCAAAGGATATTTTTATTAAAGTAAATTTTTTATTATTTTTATTATAAAGTTTTTTTTGTTGTTGTTCATATTATAATTAGATCATGCCATTGCCAATATTTTTCTTTGGTAATTTACTTTTCGGTTTAGGTGGTACACAAGCAGTGAGGTATTTGCTTTTTTTTTTTTGTTTTATTTCAATATTTATCTTTTGAGTAATAAATTAACAGTTTACCTATGTTTACTGCATTACGTCGTTTTTCAATTTGGATGACAATGATTGGTGAACAATTTATACTTCGGTGAAAATTTGATTAATTTTTATATTTGAATGCAATTTTATTTTTCTTCTTAGAGAAAAACAATCTTTTACAGCACAATTTAGTGTTTATTTAATGATAATAGGTGCATTACTTGCATCAGGCAATGATTGTGCATTTAATTTATTTGGTTATGTATTTCTTTCAATAAATAATCTTTGTACAACTGCTCAAGGTATTATTATGAAAAAAAAATTAGTTAATAAAGTAAAAAAATTAAATTTCTTTAATTGAATAAATTTAAAAAAATTTAAAGATGATTTTTATTTTATTCTAGGATTTTAATCAGAATGGTCTTTTATTTTATAATTCATTTACTATACTTGGACCTACACTTTTATTAGCTTTATTTACTGAAGATCTTAATAAAGTAGAAAATTTCTTATTTTAAAAATAGAAATTCATTTCATTTTGTTTTTCAAAATAAAAATTAAGGTTTGGAATTATGATCGTTATTGTGATATTGGTTTTATATTTGCTTTTCTTCTTTCATCATTAATGGGTTTTTTACTAAATTATTCTACTATGTTATGTACAAATTATAATTCACCATTAACAACAACAGTTGTTGGTGCTTGTAAAGTCTGTTTGATTAAATTTTTAGAATTATGAATCGCTTTTTTTTTGTTTTTTTTGTATTCTTTATTTTAAAGAATTTATTTGTAACTTATCTTGGAATGTTTATTGGTGGTGACTATATTTTTTCATTTGTTAATTTTATTGGACTTAATATAAGGTAGGTAATATTTTATATTCAGATGAAATTCTTTACGATCAGAAAATAATAGAAACTTGGAAGGAGAAATATCTTAGTTGGAAACTGATAAAATATCCAGACGTTACCAAAGTGGCAAAATAAGGTAGAATTTCAAATGCATGAATTCTATATTGCACATTTTTGTGGGCACGGAAACGTTTACAATTAACTTGATATTTAATTGTGAAACATTTTATATAAGTAAAATATTCAAGTAATCATCCATGCCCGTACCCAAAAAAAGTATATCCAAGAATGACTGTCCGTGACTAAATGAGCCAAATCATTCATTAAAGACATGATACAAAAAGAAACATCGAGTTTCATTTCATATATTTTAGTTTAGAAAATTCTAACTTGAATTAACATTTTTTTGAAAACTAAATAGTCCACCTCATAGATAAATTCAGCGGTCACAAGATAGAGTTCTACAGCAGAGAACCTAGGAATCATTTATACCGGTATCTGAAAATCTTCTCTCTGATTCTGTTACTTATAGATGAGAAGATATATTTTCTATAGATTTATTTATTACCCAGTCAGACAAAAATTTTGAAAAACGCGTTTAAACGCTCAATCGGGAACCGCGATTGTAAGCCATTAACGCTCATTAAAAAAACGCACGAAAACGCGTTTATTGGCATTTTTTGTAACTTCATGGGCGTTAAAACGGCGACAATTCCCGTTTTTGAGCGTTAAAACGCACTATTATTCTAGAACTTAAAAATAATACGTTTTAACGCNCACCTTGCAATGAAGCGATTAGGCTGAGATCGGCATACAAACTGCGAAGTGAAGGATCATTCGATAAAATTTCTTCTAGCAAACAATTGTAGGGTGTGGGTATGGGTGTGGGTGGGTGCGGGTGTGGGTGCGGGTGTGGGTGTGTGGGTGTGGGTGTGGGTGTGGGTGTGGGTGTAGGTGTGGGTGGGTATGGGGTGTGGGTGTGGATGCGGTTGTGGGTGTGGGTGTGGGTGAGTTTTTCACTCTGTATAAAACTGACACCCATACCCACACCCACACCCACACCCACACCCACCAATACCCACACTCACACCCTTAACAAGAATTGGAACGCTCTGTCATCAATCAAAAAGAAACAAGTTTGAGTTATAGTTAAGAAATAATGGAAATATTCAAGAATTTGTCATGGTAGTCTTGTGGAGCATCCTATGAGTTCGCAAGCAATATCAAGAATTCTAATGAATAGCTCTTGACACAAACATAATATAAATTTACCCGTTTCTCTAGAATACGCATGGCCGAAACTGTGTAATGGACGTGAGTGAGAGGTTTTGGATGAGGATCTTCTGTTCACCTTCAGCCATCTACACCCATCAACACCGTGATACCATTCCCAACATCATATTATTACTACTGCTCATCCTCTTGCGAATCAATGGAAAGAAATATATTCTTTTATTGAAAACTTCAGATGAAGCCTCTAATTCAATGTTCTGGAGAATAGCTTACTGTGCACTGAATAGTCAGTTTAGTATCCCTTACTATTGAGTACTATGCCATGAGAATATACACATCTATCTAAGATTCACTTAGCCTTGTCGATGTTTATTCATGGGTAAAAGCTGAGACTATTGTTGTGAAACTAGCGGAAGTATTTCTTCGGTCAGTATTGTTTGTAATAGAAGAAAAGTAATTTTTCGCATTTCAGTGGCTAGGAGCAGCTCTGGGGAGTAGCTGAGATATTTCTCTTTACGAATAAAAACTTGATGATCGTGACTATCATCAGAAATAAAGATAGTCAATTAGGTTTAACTAAAAAGTGGTGGTATATGGAATTATTTTATATAAGCGAGCTTGGAAATACGTGGTTAGATACCAGAACTTTTGATAGTAACTTACGACAATATTGATTCATTTGAAACTGCTGGTGAGGACACATACAAATAACTGTTTTACTAAACCTTTCACAACAATAACAGTCATTGGCTAGTATAAAATGATCACACCACTGAGCTTGCATATTGAACAATCTTTTAACATGGAATACGGTGTGGGTGTGGATGGCCAATGGACGTAACTGTTCTGTTAAACGATACCCACACCCACACCCACATCCACACCCACACCCACATCCACACCCACACCCACATCCACACCCACACCCACACCCACATCCACACCCATACCCTATATGACTTTTCCTGAGACCTCCAGTTTCAGCCAATTGATCCATGATCACTCGGAGAAGTAGCTAGAGAGGCATAATCCACCCTGATAAGTCGAATTGTAATATTTGCTTCCAGTTTCGAACGGGTTTATTATGTTTCTCGAAAAATAAATTTAATTCATATTCAAATGCTTGGTTAACAAGAAAGAAAATGAGAGTTTCTTTTCGTTTCAATGATTAACTATATAGTGATCAAAATCTTTCGACTTGTTCTGTTTTATTTTGACTTTCATTGTTGTTAGATTGTGGGTTGATATTGGGAGCAAACCTTTTCATTGATTGTTCATTAATTTGAGTATTATCATTGATTAATCGTTTCGATCGATAAATTCGAATACTAAATGGAAAGATATATATTTGAAATCTTATTCAATATGAAGTAATACAATTTACTTAATTAAATTCATTTTTTCAACATCGTCTACTGATTGAGGTAATGGTTGATTTAATGTTTCAGGAAACATTAAAGCAAATAGAGCAGCAATAAATGAAACAGTACCATAGGAAAGTATTGGAAGATGAATCCATAAACGTGTCTAAAATAAAATTTTTATTATAGAAAAGTTATCAAATTCAAAATATATATATTTGACTTTTCATACTAAATTATCGTTAGCATATGTTCCAATAATAGCGCCAATGCGTGCAACCATTGAACAAATACCCATACCAGTATTTCGTACATTTGTTGGAAATAATTCATTTGCATAAATATAAATAATTGCATAAGAACCTGATGATAAAAATTTTAATGTACCATTTATTATATTCAATAATAATATTTGACCTAAATTCAATCTTTCAACAAACAAAAGGATCATTAATAATAACAAACCTTTTCCATCTTTTTCCATTAAGTATTCAACAGGAAGTATTAATATTGAAACAATACAAAAAAGAATAAGAAAACCAATATATGGAATTTTTCGTCCAATACGATCAAGAATTGAATGAACAAAAAAATATGAGAGTAATTCAACAAAAGCACTCACACCAAATGATAAATATGGGTTTAATCGCCATGATCCTGTTTGTATACAAAACAATATTATCATTCAACAATTTAAAAATAAAATATTTAACAGAAATAGCTTTTTTTTTAAATTTCATTTGCTGATTAATTTTTAAGAAAAACTTTGATAAACGCGAAATAATCCCGAGTTATAATTATAATTACTCAGCACAAATCGATGCCAAGGGTATCCTACGAATCTTTAAAAAATCCATTTTTCTCCAGTTGAGTTCATGAGTTTTATTGTTTTTCGGCTCGTCATTTACTAAAAATGTCCTCTCCTCTAAATTCTTTCAAAAATACCACAAGAGAGTAGTTCATATCTTATAACGAACCATTACTGATACAGAGTTTTGTGTTCATATATCAACAACGTCTATCACAATTCGGAAGAGGAAGGTGGGTAGGAGTGAGTGCTAATTTTTACCCTATATATCTTAACATTCCTTTTAGATTGTATTTCAAAAAAGAGCTTGGCAAGAATTATAAGAGAAAAAGAATCAGACACAATGTTCAAGAACATAAGAATCTCGCCTGATGAAACAATTCTTGCTTCATCAACCAAGAGTAGATCTTCATGAATTTTTCCACAATGTCAAGACTTGTGTATTTTTTCAGGCCAGAATTTTATACTGAAGTATATTGTGAAAAGAGTGTTAGCGAAGAGAAAGAATAAAATCGAGAATATTGATTAGTATTCTTTTTCAAAACTATTTCCCAAGAACATTTCATAGAATTATTTTGATGGATAAAACAAATTTTTTTGTCTATTATTTTTCTCGTATTTTTAAATAAAACAAATTATATATTTTAATAATATTCATTATTTTTCTTTAATAAAAATTATCACTTATTGTACTGTTTACGAAGGTCACCTATTTATCTTATTTTGATTAATTAGAACATTTCTATAAATCAAATCAAATATAAAATGTCTAATACCTGTACTTTGTGCAACACCATAATAGGTAAGATTTTGTACAAGCCTTTACAAAAAAGAAATAATGTTAATTATTTATTAAATTTAGAATAGATGACATACCATTGAAAAAAAAGATTAATACTAATAAAAGTCATTATTTTTGATTGAAATAAACTTCTAACACCTGGTTGATTCTTTTTTTCAGACATATTCTAATGAAATATTAAACTAAATTCTAATCAAATAAAGTAAATCTTACTTTTATTTGTTCATCTTTTAGTTTTTTATAAGCATCAATATTAAAAACACGGTTATTTATTTTTGCTATATTTTGTAAAATTTTTTCTCCTTCATCAAATCGACCTGTGCTAATTAACCATCGAGGACTTTCCGGTAATATACTTAACAATGATTTATTTAAATATTTATTTTAATTAAAAACAAAAATACTTACAAGTAAAAAAACATATATGGAACAGTAAATAATGCTATTGACAATGTTAACATACGCCATGAACGAATAAAATAAGCAAATATTAATAAAATTAGTTGACCAGATGCAAAAAAATATTCAATTACAATTCCAGCTAAAAGCCGTTTCTTTGGTCCAACTAAAAATAAAAAAAGAATTTCGGTTTTCAATTACTCAGGACATACCAAAAGTAGTGACTCTAACATTGTTCTACTATATAGGTTTGATTGACGAGAGAAGTTCGTCAACAAATTAATTAATTTTAAGTCGGAACAATGTGTTCTATGTAGACTCTATGCAGTTTACGGTAGTTTTTTAAATCACAGCCGTGGTTCTTCTCCAGGAACAATGGGACAACTGAGTTTTGAATTTCGATTTTGCAAAAA